ATGTAAAGGAGATCGTCTACGTAGACGATTAGCAGGATGTAGTCTGCGCCTTTCGTGAGTCGGTACATCCCCTGATCGTGAGGTAATTGCTTGAAGCCGATGCGGATGAGGCGGGCGTGCAGATACTGCTGCCATAGCCGCGGAGCTTGCTTAATCCCGTAGAGCGACTTCAGCAGTTGACAGACCTGGTTCGGCTCCCCGTTGGTACCGTGCGGTAGTTCCACGAAAATTTTTGCGTCAACGGGTGCGTAGAGAAACGCGTTCGCGACGTCGATTTGCCGCAGCTTCTTCTTCTTCATGGCGGCGATTGCGAGGAGAATGCGTAGTGAGGTGTGGCGGCTGACCGGAGCGAAGGTTTCGGTGAAGTCGCGTCCGTGCTCTTGGTCGAAACCGCGTACGACCCAGCGCGCCTTAAATTTGTCGATGGTGCCGTCAGCTTTTGTCTTCACAAGGAAGACCCACTTTCCGGTGAGAATGGTCTTGTTCCGTACTACGCCGATGGGAACTACTTTCCACGTGTTGCGTTCCTCCAGTGCCTTCAGTTCCTTGTCCATGGCTTCGCGCCATTTTTCCTTATGCTCCCCCCCCAGAGCCTGCTGAACTGTCGCAGGCTCTTTAGGAATGGCTGCGCCGTGAACTGCGGTGACGAGACCAAGGATTTGGAGCCCACTCTGTGTGTAGCGAGGGAGTGAAGTATCCTCTGGATAAACTGCTTCGTCTCCCGCTTCTGGATCAGGTGCGAAATTAGGTCCTACGCGTTCTGCTTCGTCGGTGTTGACTTGTGCAGGCGTAACGTAACCGTTGTCGGCGAAGTGGTAAAAAACTTCGGCGTTGTTACTTTCGCGTGGATTTTCGTCATCCATTGGGACATCGACGGAGCAGTACGGGAGGGGTCCGGCTTCTTCCGAGGCTCCTTCCACGTTCTGCTCGTCCCAGTCAGCTTCGTCTTCTGCCGAAGCGAAGGCACGGGTGCCATTGAATCCGCCCAAGGGATCGGGTCTGTTTGCTGCCACGTACGCAAGGTGAACGTCGAGGATGAGATTCTCGTAGAAGATGTCATCACGTGCTGCGACTGTTTCTTTACTGTTGATGTCGAAGATTTTCCATGCATTGTAGTGTTTTTCGATGCCCAGGTGTAGTCCCCACTGTGCTCGTTGGGAGAATCGGCCGGCGCGTGCAGATGGGGGTCGGTACTGTACCATGCAGCCGAAGACTCTCAACATTTTTGTGTTGCCCAATTTTCCTGTCCACAGCAGGTGCGGTGATGCGTTGTTCGGGAGCGATGATGACGAAAGCAAGTTGTGCAGCATGACGGCGTGGTCCATTGCTTCGGGCCATTGGTGGTTGGGCAGGTGCATGCCACGTAGCAGTTTGCGCATGGTGGCTTGGAGTGTCCTGTTCATCCTTTCTGCTACGCCTTGTTGTTGATGAGCGTAGGGAAGGGAAATGAGCCGCTTGATCCCCCTTTCTGCCAAGTAGTCCTTGAACCTCTGTGAGGTGTATTCTCCTCCCCCGTCTGACTGGAAACTCTTTAGTTTTACGCCCGATTCTCTTTCTGCTGCAGGAAGCCAGGCGACAAAGGCTTCGAAGGCCATGTCGCGGCTTGGGAGATTGAGGTGCCAGACGTATCTTGTGGCAGCGTCGATGAAGGTGATCGTGTAGTTGTACGCGTTTTGTCCGGGTTCGCGGTTGTACAGTATGTCGCTGTACACCTTTTCGAGTGGCGCGTAGGCTGGTGCGCTTGGATTGTGGTGAGACACAAACGGTTGATGTGATAAATCTGCTTCGGGACAGGTGAAGCATGTTCCTCGAGCTCGCTGAAGTTCTCTGCCGTCGATCAGTAGAAGTGAGTCTTTGTCGAGCACCCCTGCTCTTATTGTGTTGTTTAACACCGTGTGGCTTGGATGTCCCATCCTTGCGTGCCAGGTTCCTTCGGTGGCGCGGTGTCCGGGCGAGCGTCGGTACGTGTCCGAGTTGGAGTAGAAGCCGGCAGTGACGTTCGCGCTTCGGTGGACTTCTCGTCGTGTCGGGTTGAGCTGTTGCGCGGGTGTCGGTGGTGTGTCGTCGAGGAGTGGTGCCGTTGAAAGACCAACGACTGGTGTTGAAGTTCCTGCTGTTCCCGTTGATGTTCCTGCTGCTGCCGATGTTGTCTCTGCTGTTGCCGACGTTGTCTCTGCTGCTGCCGACGTTGTCTCTGCTGCTGCCGACGTTGTCTCTGCTGCTGCTGGCGTTGTCTCTGCTGCTGCCGGCGTTGTCTCTGCTGCTGCCGATGTTGTCTCTGCTGCATGTTGAATTGTCGCTAACGCTCTTGTCCTTTCTGTCTCAGGGATGGTGTGTGAGTACCAGAAACCGCCAGGACTGAAGTCTGGATCAAGGTCTGGAGGGTGTGTCCAGTTGGTGAAGTTAACGATGGCGTCGCTGTCGGCGGTGCCGAGATCAGGAACGAAGTCAAGAACGAAGACGTTGTTCTTGAGGATCGCCTTGCCGATGTAAAGCCCTCCTCTCCCGTGATACAACTTGAATTCTTGGGTGGTGCTGTCTGCTTCGAGGTGAATCCCCTTCGCCATTAGCTGACTGACGCTTAGTAAGTTGTAGCCGAGACCTTCTGCGATTAGGACCTTGGACATCTGTAGGATGACATTTGTTTCTCGTGACTGTAGTTGAACAACTCCTTGTCGTCGTGTGCGCAGGTTCTGATTGTTGGCGACGGTGATGACTACTTCGCGTTGAAGTTGGTATTCTCGTTGCACGAAGCGCCCTGAAGAACACATGTGCTGTCCGCAGCAACTGTCCAAGAACCACGTGTCCTTCCCGGATGGTTCGCTCTGGGGGATAGCTGCGTATGTCGGATTCGGCTCCAGTGTCTCACGGTGTGGAGTTCTTTCATCAAGTTGTTCTTCTGGTGAGTAGTATGGTGGTAATCCCGTGATGCAAGAGTCGCTCAGCCTTGCCATGCAGCTGACGATGTTTCTTGCTCCTTGTGCAGGTTGTCCCGTTGAAGTCGTTGAGGCTTGAATCTGGGTCGAAGGATTTGCTTGTGTCGAAGCGACTTGATTGCTTGAAGGTCGAAGCTGTCGCTGTGGCGTTGTTGATTGTTGTCGATTCGGGCAGTGTGTGCGCTGATGTCCTGAAGTTTTGCAGATGTGGCAGAACGGAGGTACGGGCTTCGGCTGTTGCTGCCAGTTGTTGTTGTTGTTGTAGCGTCGTTGAGTGTGGAACGCGAATTCCGGTGCTGATGTCTTCCTTTTATGTCGTTCTTCTTGCAGGTCCATGTCTTGCTGTTCGGCGTGGATTTCGGCGCAGAGCGCTGCTTCGGAGATTCTTCCGTGGGCTCGGAGAATGGCCTTTGTTGCGCGCCATTGAGGACCGAGGCCACCAATGATAACTGTCACGAAGGCGTCTTCAGAAATCGACCCTCCGCATCGAAGAAGCTTGTCACGCAGCTCGCGACATCGGCTGATATACGCCATTCCTTTCTCGCCTGGTTTCATTTCGACCGTTGTCAGTTGCGCCATTAACCGACTTTGATTTACGCTGTCTGTTGCTTGATACAGGCTCTTCAAGTGGTTGTACGCGAGCTCCGCGGAGTTGCCGTAACCCCGGTAAGACCGTATATTCTGCTGTTGGGACGGGGTGATGTTTCTCAGTAGAATCGTGTACGCCATCATCGACTGATAGGTGTACTGCTGCTTCTCATACTGTGTGCCGTTCGTTGGGTATGGCAGGGACCCGTCGAAGAAGCCAAGTATCTGCGCGCCTTCCATCATTAACTCGAATTCAAACGACCAGGTGAAGAAATCCTTTCCATCGAAAGGTCTTGACGTCTGCATCTTTAGAACGTGCGCGAACTGCGACTGAACTTGTAATGCGTCCAGTGGCTTTTCTTGTCCAGGTGAAGGCTGCGGGTGTGGCATAAAACTGATGGACCCGCGCTCGTACGGAGCAAAGGTAGGCTGCTGTTGATTTCCTCGTGCGTATGATGAGCCGTCGAGACTCATGGGAGTTGCTCCGTTGTTGTTGTTGCTGTTGTTCGACTGCGCAGGTGCCGACTGTTGGTGTTGCTCGTAGAAGGACATGAAGGAGAAAAACTTCTCCATCATGCTCTGATCGAATCCTGCAGGTTGATTCACAGGAGTCTCGGTAGAAGTTGCTCTTGGTCTTGTTGCCGTGCCCTCCTCTGTCTGTAGGCCAGAGGCAGGAGGTGGAGTAGGAGTAGTACCCTGTGAGCCGTTAGAGGAGCTCCTTTCCTTTTGTGTAGCCATGTCTGTTGATGCTGTCGGTATTTTAATAGAAGTCGAATTCTCCCTGACTGCTCTCATACCATGTTGAGCTGAGAAAAGCCCTTAGGATCTTTGCAGGGGTGAACTCTGGGTAGAGTTGTTGTAATAGCGGAAGCGTTAATTAAAGAGTTGTGAACCACCTTGCGCTAGTATGTGAGGGCAAAGTAGATTGATTAAAGCAAAGAGATACAAGATTATATAAGAGTACAAGGAATACGAAGAGACACGGTTGTAACTACTTTACTGTTGCTGTTGCGGTTCGATACAGTGACGACTCGGGCAACTGCTCTGTAGCGAGTCAGTTGTGTGTCCTTGCTGTCGCGCTGTACTTGTCAGATCAAAGGTCGCTGACCTTTGACTTTCGCGTAACCTCCAGCGGTTACTTCAACCTCCGAGGGTTGACTCGCTGGTGCCTCGATATGCTTTGCTTCGCTTGTGTCTTGGTGTTTCGACACGACAGAGGCGCTTAAGACTGATTGTTTCCAACAGCAGCATGGAGACGCATTTGTTTCAACTTCATAACAGGGACATGTTGGAATGCATTCCTCGATCGAAACACAGATGGATTGACAAGCTGCAGAACTGCACAGTAAATTGCTACAGTACCCCAATTACAACATGGTGCGTATAATGAGCAGAGCAGAAAAGAGGTGCTGTTGCCTAGACGGCATTTTCAATGTTCACAAACTACTGGCATTTGTGTAGGTTAATCTCCACAAGTCATACGAGATCAGAGAGTCCAAGCGACCGCTCCACCGCTTTGCACCACGACGCAAACCTCTGCTCCCTTGCTTCCGACGTAATCAACGGTAGAAACACCACTCCTCTCCCACCATCTGGTGCCCCCCCCTCTGCACTTTTCTCATCCCCACCAACCGCCCCCCCAAGAACCTCGTCTTCGCTCCACAGCCCGACTCCTATGCCTGCGGCGAGTGCTGCACCCAGCGCTGTTGTCTCGATGTCTGCTGGCCGCTGCACCGGGCATTCGAGAAAGTCAGCCTGATGAAAAGGGCTTAGGGAGAGAGAGCAAAAGAAGAGAGAGAATGACTATTGAGGGGCCTCAAAACTCTTCGCTCAACAGTCCCACTCCTATGCCTGCGGCGAGTGCTGCTCCCAGTGCTGTTGTCTCGATGTCTGCTGGCCACTGCACCGGGCATCCCAGGAAGTCAGCCTGGTGGGAAGAGCGTAAAGAGAAAGGGCAGAATGGAGGGAATCACCTCTGAGGCTCAACTCTCCTATGCCTGCAGCCTGTTCTGCTCCCGCGCTGTTGTCTCGATGTCTGCTGGCCGCTGCACCGGGCATCCCAGGAAGTCAGCCTGGTGGGAAGAGCGTAAAGAGAAAGGGCAGAATGGAGGGAATCACCTCTGAGGCTCAACTCTCCTATGCCTGCAGCCTGTTCTGCTCCCGCGCTGTTGTCTCGATGTCTGCTGGCCGCTGCACCGGGCATCTAAGGAAATCGGCCTGATAGAAAGGATGGAGGGAGGGAGCGAGAGAGAAAGAGCATGAGAGGACGAATGTTACAGAGAGGAAGGGCAGAATTATGGTCAGAAAATAATACAGCGGACCCCTCTCGGTAGAACTTTTACCAATACCTGACTTTTGAGTCAGCTCGAAATTCCCCTCCATCAACAATTTGTGAGCCTTCCTTTATGTGCAGGCCCAACCCACTCACCTCGCAGGGTTTTTATGTGCAGATGAATCGTAACACTTTCTGTGGGACAACTTTAGCAACGTCTTAAAGCCCACCCGTCCGCCTCGCAGGGGTTACATGTGAGAATGATCTATCCACCTTTGCTGTGAAGAACCCCACATGGTATTCCTAACACTTCCACATGCAAACAGTACACAGCTATCTCCCACCCAGCCTCCTAAAGCTCCCATAACCCCCACTTTTGACACGTCTCAATATACATTTCAAATAAAATCCGACACCTCTCGGACCTCTGGCTTCAGCTTATGGTCAAGTGAAAGGTACTTGTTCCATGCCCATTCGTCCCGCCTGCATGTGAGTCAGCGCTGAGTCGCCTTGCGATTGAGAAGGCAATTCCTCCAAGTCCAGTTGACCCCGGTTTGTCTCACCTGCAACTGCATGAGCAGGTTGTTGACTGACGCCCCTCCATCCACCCTCAACACAAACTGCTCCTTGCTGCCCTCCCCGCTGCTGCCGCCGCTTCCTTCCCTGTTGGTGTCACTGCTGCTGCCAGCGCTCCCAACTCCTGCTGCTCCTGAGTGCACCGCATCAGACCGCATTGCATCTAGCACCTCCCGAGTCTGCAGGGAGAAGATGCGGAGGCAAAAGGAAGAATGGATGGATAAATATGCTGCATGGTAATACAGCTGCCAGTGCTGCCAGCTCCTGTTGCTCCTGACTGCACCGCATCAGACCGTTTTGCATCTCGAATCTCCTGAGTCTGCAGGAGCAGGTGCGAATGGAGGTGCCATGATGGCTGCATGGCTGCATGGCTGCATGGTGAGTCGCATGCATGGTAAAACCACCTGTGCTCTCGTGAAGGGGGGCAGACCCATGCTGCTGACCACACTCACATGCTCTCGTTGCTCTGTGCGCTGCTGCTGCACCTGTGGCACAAGCACACGCTCGCTTGCACCAACCAACACCCACCTGCTATGCAATTGCTTCCGGAATGGCCCGGGAGCATCCACCTGCTGTTGCACTTGGAAACACTACCCATCCACCCATCCAAAAGCCATGCGATTGCTTCCAGCACTGCCCGTGAAATGTGTGCTCTTGTGGTTGAGCGGGACAGACCGGCACACGGTGGTGACCGCACAGCACCCACTTGCCTTCACAACCCACCTGCCATGCGATTGCTTCCAGCACTGCCCGTGCAATGTGTGCTCTTGTAGTGAAGCGGGACAGACCCACTATCACTCCCCTCGCGTCCTCTCTCCATCGAGGTGCAAACAGCCCACTGTCACGTGGGAGCAGCAGGCGGAGAAGGAAAGTGAGAAGAAATGCACGAAGAGTGCAGAGACAATAAATGCAAAGTGGAGCAAGGGGCAAATTCCTCAGCCCACTATCACTCAGCTCACATTTTCCCTCCACCGCGGTGCAAACAGCCCACTCCCATGGGGAACATATGGACAGAAGGCGAGAGAGACAAGGAAAAAAGGGAGACGAGAGGGGAAAGGAGGTTGGGAGTGTGCTGGAGGAGTGAAGGAGGAGTGAAGCAGCACTTCCACAATCACTCCCCTCGCGTCTCCCTTCACCGCGGTGCAAACAGCCCACTGCAACCATGCAACTGGGGAGCAGGAGGAGAAGGATGAGAAGGATGAGAAGAATGAGAAGCAAGAGGATTGCAGAGATTATGGATGCAAATCAGAACAAGGGGCACCCCCTCTGCCCACTATCACCTGAAGGCACCTGAGGGGCACCTGAGGGTCACCTGAAGGCACCTGAGGGTCACCTGAAGGCACCTGAGGGTCACCTGAAGGCAGGAACGAAGTAAACCGCTCGTGTATTTGGCACCGAGGCAGCCAGTGACTCCACCTCCTGGGCGATAGAGCCGAGGTTTCTTTTGAGTCGACTTGAGGCGACTTTTGAAGTGACTTTTGAGTCGACTCAAAAGTCATTTGGCACCGAGGCAGCCCGTGACTCCACTTACTGGGCGTTGAAATCACTTTTGAGAATTCTCAAAGTGATTTCAACATAGCCAGTGCACTCCACCTCCTGGGCGTAGAGCCGAGGTTGTCCCTCAGCCACTGCACCAGCCACCTCACCTGGCTGATCACTTGAAGGCCAAAGAGGAATCACCAGAAGTCAATGAGGAATCACCTGAAGGTCAATGAGGAATCACCTGAAGGTCAATGAGGAATCACCTGAAGGCCAAAGAGCAATCACCTGAAGGCGGGCACAAAGTAGACCCCGCCTGTATCGGGCACCGAGGCAGCAAGGGCCTCCACGTCCTTGGTGCTGGAGATGATCCCGAGGCTGTCCCTCAGCCACTGCCCCTGAAGGCCCGTTCCACTGACCTGAAGGCCCGTTCCACTGACCTGAAGGCCCGTTCCACTAACCTGAAGGCCCGTTCCACTAACCTGAAGGCCCGTTCCACTAACCTGAAGGCCCGTTCCACTAACCTGAAGGCCCGTTCCACTAACCTGAAGGCCCGTTCCACTAACCTGAAGGCCCGTTCCACTAACCTGAAGGCCCGTTCCACTAACCTGAAGGCCCGTTCCACTAACCTGAAGGCCCGTTCCACTAACCTGAAGGCCCGTTCCACTAACCTGAAGGCCCGTTCCACTAACCTGAAGGCACGTTCCACTAACCTGAAGGCCCGTTCCACTAACCTGAAGGCCCGTTCCACTAACCTGAAGGCCCGTTCCACTAACCTGAAGGCCCGTTCCACTAACCTGAAGGCCCGTTCCACTAACCTGAAGGCCCGTTCCACTAACCTGAAGGCCCGTTCCACTAACCTGAAGGCCCGTTCCACTAACCTGAAGGCCCGTTCCACTAACCTGAAGGCCCGTTCCACTAACCTGAAGGCCCGTTCCACTAACCTGAAGGCCCGTTCCACTAACCTGAAGGCACGTTCCACTAACCTGAAGGCCCGTTCCACTAACCTGAAGGCCCGTTCCACTAACCTGAAGGCCCGTTCCACTAACCTGAAGGCCCGTTCCACTAACCTGAAGGTCCGTTCCACTAACCTGAAGGCACGTTCCACTAACCTGAAGGCCCGTTCCACTAACCTGAAGGCCCGTTCCACTAACCTGAAGGCCCGTTCCACTAACCTGAAGGCCCGTTCCACTAACCTGGAGGTCCGTTCCACTAACCTGAAGGCAGGCACAAAGTAGACTCCCCCCGTGTGGGGCACCGAGGCAGCAAGGGCCTCCACGTCCTTGGTGCTGGAGATGATCCCAAGGTTGTCCCTCAGCCACTGCACCGCTGCCCCTGCTATGGCTATGCTGCCCTCCAATGCATAGTAGCACGTGCCACTGCCACCACTGCTGCTGCCGCCACTGCTGCTGCCACCACTGCCGCCACTTGCACTTCTGCCCATGCGACTGTTGGCTTCTTCTGCACATTCTGCTGCATCTGCCCCGCTTCTGCTGCCCACTCCGCCTGCCTCCCCTCTGACTTCCCTTCCTCTTCCCTCTTCCTTTCTCCCCAGTTGGAAAGCCACTGTACTGAGCAGGCCGTGCTGAGATGTGCACACCTGGCAGTGTGGGCAAGAAACGAAAAAAGAAGAACACATTTGCAGGGGTGAGGGGAGAGGAAGAACGAAGCATGAAGCAGCCCGAGCCAAAGGCGGCCTTGGCCTGCCCCTGAGCGCCGCGGCGCCGCCGCCTACATCCATCCAGCACAATGGCGACTGGCAGCACTGCATTTGACTTTTGAGTCGCCTCGAAAGTCATCCTGCCCCTGAGCGCCGCCTACCGCATCCAGCACAATGCCGATTGGCAGCACTGCATTTGGCTGGTAAAGAACAAGTCACCTCACCTGCGGTCCTGTGTTGAGCGGCATGAAGCACCCCGTGCCAAAGGTGGCCTTAGCCTGCCAGTGAGTGCCTACCACACACACATAATGCCGAATTCGCAACATTGCATTTGGGTGTCAGAAACACGAGTAGCCCTCACCTGCGGCCCTGTGTTGAGCAGCATGAAGCACCCCGTTCCAATGGTTGCCTTAGCAGTTTAGCTTGTCCCTGAGAGCACCGCTGCCCCAGCATGGCCGCATGTTGATCGCCCAGACAGCCCGCCCCTGGCCCCTGAGGGCACCCTCACCTGCGGTCCTGTGTTGAGCAGCATGAAGCACCCTGTGCCGAAGGTCGCCTTGGCCTGTCCCTGAGAGCACCGCTGCCCCAGCATGGCGGCGTGCTGGTCGCCCAGACAGCCCGACAGCGGCACCCCTGCCAGTGCCAGGCTACAGGAGCGATGTGCTCTGTGGTGGCAGAATGGGGTGAGAGTGAGTGAGGGAACAGAGGGACGGAAGAGGGGGTGCTGCTGCATGCTGGTCGCCCAGACAGCCAGACAGCGACACCCCTGCTAGCGGCCACGACGAGGCTACAGGGGCTCTGAGTTGGGAGGACGGTGGCGGGAAGACAGGGTACAGATGAATTGTGGTCTGGACCACTGCCGCAGCTGGTCGCCCAGACAGCCCCACAGAGGCAACCCCGCCAGTGACCACGAGGATGGGTGAGGGGGGGGGAAACGGACAGACAGATGGACGGAGGGGAAGAGGAGCATAGAGTAGAGAGGGTTTAGGCTGCCTGCCAAGGTGCCAGGTTCACTGTTGCCAGGGCGGGCGGGCCTACGGTTGGGAGGGAAGAGGAGCAGATGAGATGAGCTATGAATGAGTCAATGACACATATGAAGGGGCTTCTGGGCTATAAAAGAAAGGAAAGGAAGAGACAGACACACGCACACCTCTGCTTCGCTCTCAGCCCCTCACCGCAGCCCACCCAGCAGCTCACCAGCACTGGAAATGATGCTGGGGAGGATGCTTGTGAGTCAACTCAAAAGACATCTGGACCCATCAGCAGCCCACCCAGTAGCCCACTCACCAGCGCTAGAAATGATACTGGGGAGGATGCTTGTTTCTGAGTCGACTCAAAAGCCATCTCGACCCATCAGCAGCCCACCCAGCAGCCCACTCACCAGCGCTGGAAATGATGCTGGGGAGGATGCTTCTGGGAATGTTCAGAGCGTCGAGAATGGGTTGGCTCCACTGCAGCGCCCTGAGGTCCATGAGCAGCGTGCGGGAGGCGTTGCTGCTGTCTGTCACGTGGCGGGCACCGCCTGTAGGGGGGGTGAGTGAAGGGATGGTGTGAAGAAGAAGGGGGGGAGAGGGGAGGGTAAGGGACTGAGGTCCATGAGCAGTGTGCGCGAGGCATTGCTGCTGTCCGTCACGTGGCGGGCACCACCTGGTAGGAACACGGGAGGGAGGGGGAAGATATCGGACGGTGGGAATCGTGCCAGCCTGCCTGTGAGCCCCACCCCACCCACTGCAGCGCCCTGAGGTCCATGAGCAGTGTGCGCGAGGCATTGCTGCTGTCCGTCACGTGGCGGGCACCGCCTGTAGAAACACAGGGATGGATGGATGGGCAATACCGGACTGTGGGTAATGTGCCGGGGCGGGGTGTTAGCCCCAAACCACTCCACTGCAGCGCCCTGGATCCATGAGCAGCGTGCGGGAGGCGTTGCTGCTGTCCGTCACATGGGCATTTGGGGGGATGGATGGGGGATATTGGAGTGGGGAGAGTCACGTGGCAGGAAGGCGGGGACCACCTGTAGGTGTGTATGGATGGGTGTCAGGGAGGAGGGACTGTGAAAGGTGAAGTAGCAGAAGCAAGCCTTCTCTACAATCAGGGTTTGTACAAGATGGAGTGGAACGAGGGTCATTGATACCATTAATTAATGAAGGGAGGTGGACCAGAGCCGTAGCAAGAAAGGGGAAAGCAAGAAGGGAGAGAGCAAAGAGTTTTTTCAGAAACCAAGGGACAGGGGAAGGAACTGGAAGGGAAACTATGACGGAGGACTGTTTGGTTAGGTGGGTAAAAAAGATGACTAGTGAGAGAGAAAGAATGCGAGGTGCATAGTGCGGTGAGTTGTTACATTCTAAGAGCGCCACCTGTCAGGTTCCAGATGAGCCACGTGTCAATGGTGCCAAACAGCGCATCGCCTTCCTCCACTGCCTGCCTGACAGCTGGCACCTCCTCCAGAAGCCACGTCAGCTTGAGGGCGCTGAAGTAGGTGCTGAGTGGCAGCCCCGTCACCCCCCTCCACTCGTCCCGACCGCCTGAAAGCTGCTGCTCCAACCGCCTGTGTGCAGACAGAAGGAATGAAAAGGTGCAAACATGAAAACGTGAGCAGAATCAGCCAGTTCGCCATACCTTTTGAGATGTTCCAAAACCAGGAAACGTTAGCAGAGTCACTCACCACACCATTGCGCATGGACATAGAATGCTCCCTGATGCCAGCACGCCAAGTCACAACAAGCAGTCCCAATCCCAACTCACTGGCACACAGCGCTCGTGCGCACGTCCATCCACACTATGGCATTATAGGGAGGCTCGCCCGAGCTCCTGCACAACCTTGTCATGCCCCAACCAACCATCACGACTCAACTCACTGGCAGAGAGCACTTGTGCGCACGTCCATCCACACAATCGCATTGTACAGAGGCCCGCCCGTGCTCCTGCACCACACGATGGTTGTCTCACCGCAAACGTGTCACATCACAATACACTATGCAGACACAGCTCTCAACTCACTGGCACAGGGCGCTCGTGCGCACGTCCATCCACACTATGGCGTTGTAGAGAGGCTCGCCCGTGCTCCTGCACCACAAACTTGTCACACCACCACAAGCCATCACAACAACCAGGCCCAACTCACTGTCACGACTCAACTCACTGGCACACAGCACTCGTGCGCACGTCCATCCACACTATGGCGTTGTAGAGAGGCTCGCCCGTGCTCCTGCGCCACACGACAGTTGTCTCTCTCTGATTGGTCAGCCCCACCGCCTTGACTGAGTCCGGCCCCACGTGCACACCCTTGCTCCGCGCTGCTGCCATGGCTCCCTCCATGCACTGGCGGACCGTGGAGAGAATCAGCATGGGGTCGTGCTCCACCCAGCTGGAAATAACAGCAGAAGGAGAGGAAAGCGAAGGGGAGGGGAGGGGAAGTGAGGAGGTCTGAACGTCTCTGCTTTGCAGCACTGTGAGGCTAGCTGCTGCCACGGCTCCCTCCATGCACTGGCGGACCGTGGAGAGGATGACCAAGGAATCGTGCTCCACCCAGCTGGAGAGGCAAGAGGGATGGGAGAAAAGGAAGACATCTCCCTGTGAGGCTTGCTGCTGCTATCGCTCCCTCCATGCACTGGCGGACTGAAGACAGGATGACCATGGGGTCGTGCTCCACCCAGCTGGACTGGTCACAGGAGTGGGGTGGGAAGGTGGGGGAGAGAGAAGATAAGCCTGGCTGTTGCATTCTCCTGGCTGCTGCCATGGCTCCCTCCATGCACTGGCGGACCGTTGAGAGGATGACCATGGGGTCGTGCTCCACCCAGCTGGACACATGAGGTGGCGGAGAGTGAGGGGGTTGGGAGGGAGGAAGGAGGAAGGGGAAATAGGTCTGATTGTTGTCTCGTCTGCTCCGTGCTGCTGCCATGGCTCCCTCCATGCACTGGCGGACCGTGGAGAGGATCACCAAGGAATCGTGCTCCACCCAGCTGGAGAGGCAAGAGGGATGGGAAGGGAGGGAGGAAGGCAGAGTGGCCCGTGAATATCTTCCTGTGAGGCTCGCTGCTGCCATGGCTCCCTCCATGCACTGGCGGACCGTTGAGAGGATGACCATGGGGTCATGCTCCACCCAGCTGGGGAGGCAAGCAGTGTTGGGAGGTGGAGCGGAGGGGAGGAGAAGCCGGGAGATTGAACATGTTCCCGTGGAACTCTTTACTGGCAGCGCTTCTCCGTGCTCTGGCGGACCGTGGGGAGAGGATCACGCAAGGGCCGTTCGTGCTGCACCCAGGTGGAAACGAGAGGAGATTGGGTAAAGCACGCATGTTGCATGGGGCTTCGGCTCTTTCCTCCTTCCATGGGCTCCCGGAGATACGAAGAGGGTCGCTAACGGGTCATGCTTCACGCTGGTACACATACGAGAGGGTCGGAAACGTGATGAGAAGATATCAGAGGCAGGAATTTTGCGCTGTTGCGTTCCAGCCCTTGCCAGGCCAGACTGCTCATTGTCCTCTCCTCTCTCGAATGGCTTCCGTTTCAGAATATTCATACGCACGTTCTGACTTTAAGTAATAACGAAGGCTCTGCAACCAGACGAAGCCTACCCAGCCGAGAATGAGTCCAGCAAGCCTACCCCGCTTGAGGTTGAATCTGCTCGAATTCCATTTGGTGCGACGCGACAACTCGTAAATGCTCATCGTAAAGGAAGAAGCGCGTGCTCGTCGTGCCCTGGTCGATGGCTCCCACCAGCCACCCCTCCCCGCGATCGCCGCTGGTCGCCATGCTCGCACGCGCGGCGTGAGCTAGTACGCTTGGAACTTTTGTTCTGGAAACACTGGACGCAGCGGGAAAAAGGACGGCCGTTGAAATGTTTCTAAACGGTTGCTCGAGAGTATGATTTTGCCGGATCTGGTGGGACGGGCCGTGCCGTTTCCAGTCGCCTCGACGGAGGCCGGAGAACGGGTTTCCGGAGGTCACAGCATAGCTGTGCTTCTGCCAGGTGCGGGAAATTCCTGACAATGGGACGTCGAGAGTGGCCCGCGAAACAACTCCCAATGTCGCTGCGGACCGGATAAGCATTGCCAGGTCAGCAGCGCGTCGCGGAGGGAAGCGTCAGGTTGCTGAAAATGCGAGTGTGAAATTGATGGGGGGAGTGTCTGAGAGTCTCTATGCCTCCCCTCCCCTCCCTCGCCTGGATGTTGTCGCATGACATTTTCCGTGACGGTTTGCGATTGGGCTCACGAGCGAAAAACAGCGACGATGCATTTTGAGCAAATGAAAACACATGGTAATCTGGGAAAAGAGATACCAATTACATGTAAGCTCGGTAAGATCACAACCTGAAGGAGCAGCAATCGAAGCACAATCTGGTTCATTATCGAGTATAATTCCGAACCAGCCCAGCACAAGCCTAGGTGCTGACTGAAACCGACTAGCCTATCCCACCATATTGTACCACGCTAAACCACACCACATCATGCCACATCGAACATGGAAGCTGCCTCTGACACCCACAACCTCCCCCCACTGCCTGCACTTGCAGATCCACTTCGCTCTGGACTGCAACAGAACCTTCCATTTCCTTCCCTTCCCATCTCCCCCATCCCCTCCACTCCCTCCTTCCCGTCTCGTTCCTTTCCTCCTTGCACTTCCTCCCCATCCTCCTCGTCCTCAATTTTCCTTTCCCTCCGCCTTTCCAAATCTCCCATGCTCCCACTCGTGCCACTGCATTTCTGAATTCGTCTCTTCCCACCTCGGATTCAGCTGAGCTTTCCAAGGAGTCCCGAAACACCTCGGCCGAATCGAAACTGGTGGTCTCTCGTTCCCCATCGTTCTACACACGAGATCGTTTTCTACCGTGCACTGTTTCCTCGTGTTGACGCGTCCCAGCCCTTAGTATTTTAGGAGGTAGCACCGCCGGCGAGGCGATTTGCTGTATGCCACTGCATCTTACCTCGCGATCGGGCGCGGACGGCGGCGCCGTGGAATCCGACGATCGCGAGCACAAGCGCCAGAAGATCGACGGCGAGGACTCGACTGTAGTTACCGACCCTAAACTAGCCGATTCCGTTTCTTCCAAGGCGAAGCCGTCGAATCGCGACGTGGAGATGGCTCCGCAGCCGACATCTGACAGCGCGAACGGCGCCGCGACCGGCGGCGGCGGAGGCGGGGAGATTGTGATCGACGAGGATCTGCACAGCCGGCAGCTGGCGGTGTATGGTCGCGAGACGATGAAGCGCATGTTCGGCGCGAAGGTGCTGATCTCGGGCCTCAACGGCCTTGGCGTGGAGATTGGTACGTGAAGCAGAGATGAGATTGGTGGAGGATTTTTTACTTGAGGAAATGGCGGTGTATGGCCGCAAGTCGACGAAGCGCATGTTTGCCGCGACCGTCCTGATATTGTTACTTGACGGCCTTGGCGTGGAGATTGGTGGGAGGGACGACGAGAGGGCTTAGCGAGACGAAATAGGTCGACTGAGACGATGAAGCGCGCGTTCGGCGCTAAGGTTCTGATATCAGATCTCACCGGCCTTGCTTTTCAGATTGGTGCGCGAAGGCGCTTAGAGAGGGATGCGATAACTTGATGACGTATTTTTTAGAATTCGGCTGTGTATGGCCGCGCATATCGGTGCGAATGTCGTGTCTCGGGGCTCAAGGGCCTTGGCGTCGATATCGGTGCGTGGAAGAAGGCGCTTAGCGATTTTCGAGACGGGCTAAAAAATCGTCTGCTCTGGCGTCGATAACGGTGCATGCGAGAAGGCGCTTAGCGAGGGAGGAGTTGACTACGTTACGGGTCTTCTCTTAGGGCGGGGGGGAGGGGGGGGTGGACTGAAAAGACTTGGATCATGGGGTTTCGACGCGAGATTTCTCACAAGATTATGGGATTGCGGGCAAAATATATTTCTCCAGAAGCTGGTTTTCCTTATGTGCGCGACTGAATGTCACGCGCTCAACTCGATATGAGCCTGTTCGTTGTTTAGCCGGTCCGACGTGCCAGGTTCCATATGCGCGCTCATCTCACTCATGTAGTTTTCGGTGCCTGTTTCTCGTTTGTGATGGCTCGAGAGTGATCGTGTTCGGCTCAGACCACTGGTACCTGTTCGTTGTGGCTGGCGCTGCCCCAGCCATTGCCGCCATCAGTTCCGTTGCGGGTTCAGGGCTTTACGCCTCCTCGTTTTGCTCCTTTCTCTCAACCTCCTCCTCTCTGTCTCGCCTCCTCCGTGCCTCGCTTCCGTCCTTTCTATCAAAGCGTATTTCCGGCTGGTGTCCTTAACTTTCCTCCTCCATCTCCCTCGTTTCCATCTCCCGTGCAGCCAAGAACGTGATTCTAGCGGGCGTCAAGTCCGTGACAGTGCACGATACAGTCACAGTAACGGTGCAGCACCTGTCCGCGCAGTTCTTCCTCACGGAGGCCGATGTGGGGGTCAACCGCATCCTCCTCACCCCCGCCCCCCCCCCCCCCCCCTTTACTCCCCACGTGCAGCCAAGAACGTGATTCTAGCGGGGGTCAAGTCGGTGACAGTGCACGATACAGTCACAGTAACGGTGCAGCACCTGTCCGCGCAATTCTTCCTCACGGAGGCCGACGTGGGGGTCAACCGCGCGCAGGCGTGTGCTGCGCGCCTGCAGGAGCTGAACAAGGCCGTGGAGGTGCACGTGCGCACGGCGCCCATCGAGAAGGAGTTCCTGGGTGACTTCCAGGTGCGTAGTAGGGAGGGAGGTTGAAAAGGAGTTCCTGCGTGATTTCCAGGCGCGTGATAGAGGGTGGGAGATTAGGGTATGGGGCGAGTGTTGCGCTCCTGTGCGGCGCGCCTGCAGGAGCTCAACAAGGCGGTGGAGGTGCACGTGCACACTGCCCCCATCGAGAAGGAGTTTCTGGGTGACTTTCAGGTGCGTTAGTAGGGAGGAGGTAAGGGGGATAGGAGGCGTGCTCTGCGCGCCTGCAGGAGCTCAACAAGGCCGTGGACGTGCATGTGCACACTTCACCCATTGAGAAGGAGTTTCTGGGCGACTTTCAGGTGGGTGATAGAGGGAGGAAGGGAAGTTAGTTGGGTATGAGGCGTGAGCTGCGCTCCTATGTTGCGCGCCTGCAGGAGCTGAACAAGGCGGTGGAGGTGCACGTGCACACGGCTCCCATTGAGAAGGAGTTCCTGGGCGACTTTCAGGTGCGTTAGTAGGGAGGAGGTCAGGGGGATAGGAGGCGTGCTCTGCGCGCCTGCAGGAGCTCAACAAGGCGGTGCCCGTGCACACTGCTCCGATTGAGAAGGAGTTTCTGGGTGACTTCCAGGTGCGTCTACTGAGGGAGGGAGGTCAGATGCATAGCAGGCGTGTGCTGCGCTCCTGTGTTGCGCTCCTATGCTGCGCGCCTGCAGGAGCTTAACAAGGCGGTGGAGGTGCACGTGCGCACAGCTCCCATTGAAAAAGAGTTCCTGGGTGATTTCCAGGTGAGCTCAGGGGGGTCAGGGGAATATGAGGCGTGTGTTGCGCGCCTGCAGGACCTGAACAAGGCCGTGGAGGTGCACGTGCACACCGTTCCCATTGAGAAGGAGTTCCTGGGGGATTTCCAGGTGCGCAATAAGGGCAAGCAGTGCTGGTAAGAAGGGGTCGGTCTGTGAAGGAGTGGGGGAAGGCGGGAAGAAGGCCGACGTGGGGGTCAACAGCACGCAGGCGTGTGCTGCGCGCCTGCAGGAGCTGAACAAGGCCGTGGAGGTGCACGTGCACACTGCACCCATTGAAAATGAGTTTCTGGGCGACTTTCAGGTGCGTTAGTAGGATAGGAAGGAGGTAAGGGGGATAGGAGGCGTGCTCTGCGCGCCTGCAGGAGCTCAACAAGGCGGTGCACGTGCACACTGCGCCGATTGAGAAGGAGTTTCTGGGTGACTTCCAGGTGCGTCTACTGAGGGAGGGAGGTCAGATGCATAGCAGGCGTGTGCGGCGCGCCTGCAGGAGCTGAACAAGGCGGTGGAGGTGCACGTGCATACAGCGCTGATTGAAAATGAGTTTCTGGGCGAGTTTCAGGTGGGTGATGGAGAGAGGGAGGTTACTGAGGTATGTACGAGGCGTGTGCTGCGCTCCTGCAGGAGCTCAGCAAGGCCGCGGACGTGCACACTGCACCCATTGAAAAGGAGTTTCTGAATGACTTTCAGGTGGGTGATGGAGGGGGGATTGGGGTATAGGGCGTGTGTTACGCTCCTGTGCTGCGCGCCTGCAGGAGCTGAACAAGGCCGTGGAGGTGCACGTGCACACCTCGCCCATTGAGAAGGAGTTTCTGGGTGATTTCCAGGTGAGTAACAGACGGGGATTGGGGTATGGGACATATGCTGCGCGCCTGCAGGAGCTGAACAAGGCCGTGGACGTTCGCGTGCACACCTCGCCCATTGAGAAGGAGTTTCTGGGCGACTTCCAGGTGCGTGGTAGAGGGAGGGAGGTTAAGGTATGGAGCGTGTGTTGCGCTCCTATGCTGCGCGCCTGCAGGAGCTGAACAAGGCGGTGGAGGTGCACGTGTGATTTCCAGGTGCGTGATGGAGGAAGTAAGGTCAGTGGGCTTTGCGGCGTGTGCTGCGCACCTGCAAGCCGTCCTTCTCACCGACCTGCCTCCGAACCAAGCCATAGAAGTTGACTCCTACTGCCACCCTTCCCAACCCCCCCTCCCCCATTCCCCCCGGTGCCCTTCAAGTGCTGTGAGACCCATCTGAGACGTGCTGTCAGGCGGTTGTTTCCACCGACCTTCCTCTTGTCCAGGCCATTGAGTTCGGCGCATACTGCCATGCGCACACCCCCCCCTGGACCTTCGTGTAGAGAGGTTATTTTTGAGACGTCTCAAAAATGACCTTCGTCCTCCATGCAGGCTGAGTCGCCTCATATCCTGCATGGACTCATATCTCACTCCTTCCTTCAGTCCATCCCCCGTCCCCCGTCCCGCCCTCCAGGCCGTTGTGTTTACCGACTTACCTCTCGGCCAAGCCATCGAGTTTGATGCCTACTGCCACGCCCACTCCCCCCGGGTGCCCTTCATCCGCTGCGAGACCCGTGCAGTCTGATCTGAGCCATGTGTTGACCCGTCTCATAGCCCTCTCACTCTGTCTGCCAATCCCCCATCCCCATTCCTTCCTGCAGGCGGTCGTTTTCACCGACCTGCCTCTGGACCAAGCCGTCGAGTTCGATGCCTATTGACACGCCCACTCCCCTCCCGTCCCCTTCATCCGCTGCGAGACCCGTACCGTCTCACCCTTGCTTTGACTCGTCTCATAACTCGCTTCTCTCTTCTGTCCGTCCCCCATTCCTCTTCCCATACCACCCTCCAGGCGGTCGTTTTCACCGACTTACCTCTCGATCAGGCGATCGAGTTCGACGCCTACTGCCACGCCCACTCCCCCCCGGTGCCCTTCATCCGCTGCGAGACCCGGGGCGTGTTCGGTGCGATCTTCTGCGACTTCGGCCCGAAATTCACCGTCACCGATGTCGACGGGGAGGAGCCCTTCTCAGGAATCGTCGCCTCTGTCGCCAAAGACTCCCCTGACGCGCTTGTCACCTGCGTGGACGATGAACGGCTGGGATTTCAAGACGGCGATCTGGTGGTGTTCTCGGAGGTCCGGGGGATGACGGAGCTCAACGACGGGAAGCCGCGCCGCGTGCGGAACGTGCGGGCGCACTCGTTCCTGTTAGACGACGACACGTCAGCCTATGGCGCGTATGAAAGCGGCGGGATCGTGACGCAGGTGAAGGAGCCCAAGGAGCTGGCGTTTCGCCCGCTCGCGGCTTGCCTGGAGCAGCCCGGCGAGTTCCTGCTGAGCGATTTTGCCAAGTTTGACCGGCCGCCGCTGCTGCACCTCGCCTTCCAGGCTTTAGACGCCTTCCGGAAGGAGACCGGGAGGTTTCCCGCGCCGGGGTCTGATGGGGATGGGGCGAGGGTGGTGGAGCTGGTTAGGGAGGTGAATGGGCGGGCGGGGAAGGAGGTGAGGGTGGAGGAGGGGGTGGTGAAGGAGGGGGGGGGGCTGATAAGGCAGCTGGCGCACGGGGCGAGTGCGGAGATCTGCCCCATGGCGGCGATGTTTGGCGGGATCGTGGGGCAGGAGGTGGTTAAGGCGTGCTCCGGCAAGTTCCACCCGCTCTTCCAGGTAAGATGCCATTATACCCTTCTTTTCCAGGTGAGGAGTGGTTCGTCCAGGTGAGCAGGGGTTCGTCCAGGTGAGCAGGGGTTCGTCCAGGTGAGCAGGGGTTCGTCCAGGTGAGCAGGGGATCGTCCAGGTGAGGAGGGGTTCTGGTATGGCAGCTGGTATGACATTTGATAAGGCAGCTGGCGCACGGGGCGAGTGCGGAGATTTGTCCGATCGCGGCGATGTTTGGTGGGATCGTGGGGCAGGAGGTGGTTAAGGCGTGCTCTGGCAAGTTCCACCCGCTCTTCCAGGTAAGATGCCGTTATACCCTTCTTTTCCAGGTGAGGAGTGGTTTTCCAGGTCAGGATGGACCCTTGCGAGAATGTTTTTTTCTGCTCTTGCTACAGCACTCGTTACAATTCACGGAATCACGGATAGCTGTCTTTGGCCGCACGATGCGTGCACGCATGCTCTCCTTGCTGCTGCTGATTGATGTTTTTGTTTTCATCCGTACTTGTTTCCCTTCCTCCCCCCTACCGCCCCTTCCTTGTACCCCGCTCTCCCTCCCATTCCTCTTCCCGCCCCTCTCCCCTTTCTCTCTCCCTCGCCAGCTTTTCTATTTTGACTCTGTCGAGTCCCTTCCATCCGAGCCCCTCTCTGCGGAGGAAACAGCGCCCACCAACACGCGCTACGATTCCCAGATCGCCCTTTTTGGCCGCACGCTGCAGGCGCGTTGCTGCTGATGATCGATTCGTCTGCTCATCTGCTCCTATCCTCCTCCCCTCTACCGCCCCTTCCCCCTGTGCTCTGCCTGCCCCTCTCCCTCCCCACCCTCCCACAGCTCTTTTACTTCGATTCCGTCGAGTCTCTTCCATCCGAGCCCCTCTCAGCGGAGGAAACGGCGCCCACCAACACGCGCTACGATGCCCAGATCGCTCTCTTTGGCCGCACCCTCCAGGCGCGCATGCACGCCTCCTCCGCCTTTGTCGTCGGTGCAGGGGCGCTGGGCTGTGAGCTGCTCAAGAATCTCGCTCTCATGGGCGTCTGCTGCTCGCCCCCGGGGGAGAAACCTCCTGCTGGTGCTGGTGATGGTGGTGCAAGCAGTGGCGAGAGTGTGCCGCTGAGTGGCAAGGGCTATCTGACGGTCACGGATGACGATACCATCGAGAAGAGCAATCTCAGCCGTCAGTTCCTCTTCCGCGACTGGAACATCGGGCACGCGAAATCTTCTGCCGCGGCGGTCGCCGCGAGGGTAATTAACCCTGCGCTGCGCGTGAACGCCCTGCAAAACCGCGTGGGGCCGCAGACTGAAGACGTTTTCGACGACACCTTTTGGGAACACTTAGATGTCGTTATAAACGCACTCGATAACGTGAACGCGCGCCTCTACGTCGACTCGCGCTGCCTCTACTTCAGCAAGCCGCTTCTCGAGAGTGGGACTCTCGGCGCGAAGTGCAACACACAGATGGTTGTCCCACACGAAACGGAGAACTACGGCGCTTCCCGGGACCCTCCGGAAAGGCAGGCACCGATGTGCACGGTCCACTCGTTCCCGCATAACATCACGCACTGCTTGACTTGGGCGCGCAGCGAGTTTGAGGGGTTGCTGGAGAGGACGCCGAGTGAGGCGAACGCGTTTCTGAGTGGGCAGGAGAAGTATTGTGAGGAGATGATGGGCGCCGGGGATGCTGCTGCGAGGGAGGCGCTGGAGAGGGTGGTGGAGTGTTTGGTTACGGAGAGGGCGAGCAGCTTTGACGACTGCGTGTCCTGGGCGCGCCGGAAGTGAGTAACTGGGGATTGGGGTTGGGTTATGGGGTTTAGGGGCTGGGGAAAAAGGTCTGGCTCAGAGGGGATGCTGCAGCGAGGGAGGTGGTGGAGAGGGTGGTGGAGTGCCTTGTCACGGAGAGGGCGAGCAGCTTCGATGACTGTGTGTCGTGGGCGCGCCGCACGTGAGTGCTTGGGTTGGGTAGTTTCAGGGTTCAGGGTTGAGTAGCTTGGGGTTTCGGAGCTCAAGGGGTTGGGGGTTTGAAGGGTTGCTGGAGAGGGGTTGGGGGTTTGAAGGGTTGCTGGGGTTGAAGTGTTGTTTGGGGGTTCAGGGGGGAGTTGTTGCAGCGAGGGAGGCGCTGGAGAGGGTGGTGGAGTGTCTTGTGACGGAGAGGGCCAGCAGCTTCGAAGACTGTGTCGTGGGCGCGCCGCAAGTAAGTGCTTGGGGATCAGGGCTGGAGTTCGGGGTTTGGGGGTTTGGGTTTCAGGTCTGGTTCAGAGATGAAGGGAGGCGCTTGAGTGTCTTGTGACGGAGAGGGCCAGCAGCTTCGAGGACTGCGTCTCGTGGGCGTGGCGCTAAGTAAGTGCTTGGGGGTCGGGTTTCGGGTTTCAGGGGGGCTGGGTTTTGGGTGAGGGGATCATACAAACGTTTGCCACTCGTATTCTATCCGTTTGCCCTCCATCCTTTCTCCCCCTCTTTCTCCCCCACCCCTACACTCCACCTTCCCCCTCCCCTCTCAATACACCCACCCTTACCTTACCTTCCCCCTCCTCCCCCCCCTCCCCCCTCCCCTCCCGGGTTCGTGAATTAGTTATCCAATCGTATCAAGCAGTTCACATACACCTTCCCATAAAACGAGTTGACATTACTCTCAACACAAATCACAAATCCCGTCCCTTCCCTGCCTCGTGCTTACCCCCATTCCTCCCTCAGCAGGTTCGAGGATTGCTTTTCCAATCGCCTCAAGCAGCTCACATACACCTTCCCAGAAAACCGTGTATTGTTGGTCCAACTTACAACCCACCCTTGTCACCCCCTTCCTCCACCCCCCTCCTCGACCCCCCTCCTCCACCCCCCATGCCTACCCCCTCCCAGGTTCGAGGACTATTTCGCCAATCGAATCAAGCAGCTCACATACACGTTTCCTTATGAAGTGCCCAAGTTAGCCGTCTCCCACCCCCCTCCACCCCCCACGCCTACCCTCCCAGGTTCGAGGACTATTTCGCCAACCGCATCAAGCAGCTCACATACACCTTCCCAGAAAACGCCTCCACCAGTACGGGCCTGCCCTTCTGGTCGCCGCCCAAGCGCTTCCCCACCGCCGTCTCCTTCTCGACCGACGACCCCACGTGCCTGGCGTTCGTGACAGCTGGCGCGATCCTACGGGCCGCCACGTTCGGGATCGAGGTTCCGGATTGGGCGAGGGACGGCAAGAGGATGGCTGAGGCGGTGGCCAAGGTGGAAGTGGGGGAGTTTGTGCCGAAGCAGGTGAGGATGGGGGGAAGAGGGAGGAAGTGGAAGGGAAAGGAGGAGGGGGGTGGGTGGGGGGGTTACGGGAAGGGGAAGGGGGAATGGTGGGAGGATGGGAAGAGGATGCTGAGGCGGTGGCCAAGGTGGAAGTCGGGGAGTTTGTGCCAAAACAGGTGAGGATTGTGGGTGAGGGGAGGATTGAAGGGGGGAGTGGGGGGGGACGTTGGGAGGGACGGGACGGGAGGGTGGAATTGGGAGATTTTGTGCTGTAACATGTGTGGCCGGGGAGAGGGGGCTAAGGGTGGGGGATTTGAAAGGAATGGAGTGTGGAAAAGCAGAGGAGGCACCCCTCCCCTGCCTTCTCACACTCTATTCGAGGTGGTGGAGGAGTAAGGCGGGGAGGGGAAGATGGAAAAAGGAAGGTGAGCAGAAGATAGAAAGAGCGAGAGAAGCGGAGTGCTCAAGCACTTCCTTTACGGCCACCGCATTCGTTTCCCAGGGCATCAAGTTCTCAACAGATGAGGAGGCAATCGTAGGTGTGGCCTCTGTGCCTGTCTGTGATTCCGTCCCTCCCCTTCCCGCCGCACCCCAATCCACTTGTTCCACCACCACCACCACCACATTTGTTCCCAGGGTGTGAAAATTTTGATGGATGCGAAGGTCACCAGTGCTGCCTCATCAGTGGGGAACGATGGCAAGGTGAACCGCAGTACCCCTCCTCACCACCGCTTTACCCTCCCCACCCCAATTCACCCCACTGCACCCCTCTCCACCACCCTTTATCCCTCCCATCGCTGCCTCACAGGGTGTGAAGATCGTGACAGACGAGAAGGCCACCAGCGCTGCCACATCAGTGGGGGACGACGCTTGAGACACCTCGAAACCATCCTGCCACCCACCTTACCTCTCTCAACCCTGCCGCATCCCTTTCCACCCCTCCCTACTGCTGCCTCACAGGGTGTGAAGATCGTGACGGATGAGAAGGCCACCAGCGCTGCCACCTCAGTGGGGAACGACGGCAAGGCGACGAGCAGTGCCCCCCCCTACCACTCAATTCCTTCCCTCACCCCTCCCTAACCCTCCCCATCTTTGCGTCACAGGGTGTGAAGATCGTGACAGACGAGAAGGCCACCAGCGCTGCCACATCAGTGGGGGATGATGGCAAGGCGATTGCAGAGCTGGTGGGGCGGCTCAAGGAGGGCAGCAAGGGGCTTTCCAAGGAGTTCCGCATGGTGCCAGTGCAGTTTGAGAAGGTGAGAAGGAGTGGAAGGAGGTGAGGGGTACTATCAATTTATTTGCTTTGATAGGGGTCAGTCAACAGTAAGGCTTAAAGGCGGTAGCAAACTCGGTGGAGCTGCTCAAGGAGGGCAGAAGCGGGGTTCCAAAGGAGTTTTGCATGGTGCCAGTGCAGTTTGAGAAGGTGAGAAGGGAATGCTCCTCAATTCTCCCCGTTCCCCAGTCCCCCCTTCTTCCCCTCCACAGAGCGACGACACCAACCACCACATGGCAGCTCTCGCCAACCTGCGCGCCCGCAACTACACGATCGGCGAGGTGGACAAGCTCAAGGCTAAGGCCATATCTCTCTCTATCCCGCCCAACCCCTCCCCCTTGATGGCAGCCCTCGCCAACCTGCGCGCACGCAGCTACACCATTGGCGAGGTGGACAAGCTCAAGGCCAAGTCCGTCACCTTCTTGCAACCTGCTGGTTGCTCCGCGCCCATCCCCCCCCAATCCCTCGCCCCCTCGTCAGGACGACGACACCAACTACCACATGGATCTCATGGCAGCCCTCGCCAACCTGCGTGCTCGCAACTACACAATCGGCGAGGTGGACAAGCTCAAGGCCAGGTTCATTGCCGGGAGGATTATCCCTGCTATTGCCACCACGACGGCTCTTGCTACTGGTATGTGGGGGAAGTGGGGTGAGGTGGAGTGGAGTGGAATGTGGTGGGTTCAGTAAGGGAGTGCATTGAGGAGTGGGAGGAGAGGTGGACAAGCTGAAGGCCAAGTTCATTGCTGGGCGGATTATCCCTGCTATGGCTACCACCACGGCGCTTGCTACTGGTGAGGAAGGGAGTGGGATGCGGTGGAATGGGATGGGTTAGGCTCATGTTTGAGCACATGACTTGGCCTCGTGTCCCTTGAGCTCCACAAGGAGTCCTCTGCCCTGCGCAACACCTTCGCCAACCTCGCCCTCCCACTCTTCTCCATGGCTGAGCCCGTGCCGCCCAAGAGCGTCAAGCACAAGGAGCTGACGTGGACCGTGTGGGGCTTACTGGAACAAGCCACCTGCACCACACACATGCATTTAGCTTTGCCCTTCTCCCTTCTCCAACCTTCCTTCCCCTCCCCGTCTCCTTCTCTTCCCAGGCCTCGTGTGCCTTGAGCTCTACAAGGTGCTGCAGGGCGCCAAGGCCTCTGCCCTGCGCAACACATTCGCCAACCTCGCCCTGCCGCTCTTCTCCATGGCTGAGCCCGTGCCGCCCAAGACCGCGAAGCACAAGGAGCTGGCGTGGACCGTGTGGGACCGGTGGACGGTGGAGGGCGATTTGACGATGCAGGAGCTGCTTGACTGGTTCAAGGCCAAGGGGCTCGATGCGTACAGGTGAGAGAGATGGCATGTGTGTGTGTGTGCGTGTGTGTGGTACAGCAGACCGGTGGACGGTGGAGGGCGATGTGACGATACAGGAGCTGCTGGACTGGTTCAAGGCCAAGGGGCTCGATGCGTACAGGTGAGGCGGATGGGTGAAGAGGCACGGTATGTGAGCAACATGAATCTACTGTATAGGATGAGGAGGACGAGGAGGAGAGGAGGTCACCAGCAGCTTCGGAGATCTGGGTTGGCATTGGGGGGTTCGGTGCAAGACGGGGAATCACGGGCTTTAGCAGTCGGGTTGCTCTCCGAAAGATGTTTAAGCTACATTCTGTCAAAACACGTTTGGAGGGGAACTCGGCTGCTAGATCCTGTTATTCTCCGCCTTGCTCCAAACTTCCCAGCGCCAACCGGGATCCCCGATGCTGCCAGTGACCTCCTTGCCGTGCCTCTCCTGCCATGTCCTGCGGTCAACTCAATCTTTCCGCGTCACTAGGAGCGCCTACCACGCAAGGTGCTGGACGTTGCAAAGGTGGTGGCCGAACCAACAAAGTATTTTTCACTGTCCCGTCCTGTCCTACCTTCTCCCTTTCCCAAACAGCATTTCCAGTGACCAAGCCCTTCTCTTCAGCTCGTTCTTCTCACATCACAAGGAGCGTCTAGCTTGCAACGTGCTGGACATTGCCAAGGAAGTGGCCAAGCTGGAGGTTCCCAAACAAAAAGAGTCTCTCTCCCTGTCTCCTGTTTCCCGTTCTTTTGACACAGCATTTCCTGCGGCCAAGCACTGCTCTTCAACTCGCTCTTCCCGTGGCACAAGGAGCATCTGCCTAACAAGGTGCTGGACATTGCGAAGGCGGTAGCAAAGCTGGATGTACTCCAACACATCTCCTTTCCATTCCATGCCTCTCCTGTCTCCTCTCTCACCTCCCTGAACAGCATTTCCTGCGGCCAAGCCCTTCTCTACAATTCCCTCTTCCCGCGTCACAAGGAGCGCCTACCACGCAAGGTGCTGGACATTGCCAAGGAAGTCGCGAAGCTGGAGGTGCCGGCGTACCGGCGCCACTTTGACGTGGTGGTTGCATGTGAGGATGAGGAGGGCGAGGATGTTGATGTTCCTCTCATCTCCATTAAGTTCCGATAGGATGCCATACGTGCCTCTGCTATGCCTCGCTGTGCCGCTGCCACTTGGCCGTGGTGGTGGCATGTGAGGATGGGAAGGGGAGGATGAGGATGTTGATGTGCCACTGATCTTATCAAGTTTTGATTACCTGCTACCTGTTTGTTGCATACTGTGAGGGCTTCTTACCATTATGGATTGTTCCTCGACATGACGCATTTTGATGGAGTGTAACCCGCATGCAGCCACTTTTCTCACCGGTAACTGATGTTTACACGAGATGGTTCTGCCACTCCTCCATATGCATCAGCTAGAGACACAGTCAAGGGTACCCTTCCTTACCCAGCTGTTGAAGGAATCTCAAGTGAGAAGTGGGTACACTCCACAGAGGTGAAAAGCAACTCCTTTGACAGTTTTACATTCTGGACAAGAAGAATGCAGTACAGATGCCACTTGTAGACAGCATAGTGACAGGTGTGTTGACAGAACTTGAAAATGCAAAGAGAACTATTACAATTATTTTGCAAATCAGCTTCTACAAACATGCAAATTTGTGGCAGTCCAGTTTACTCTGGTCCAGCCACAGCTGCTAATACACTAGAATGTACCGTATGATCTACATTTGTCTCAGCACATTGCTCATCCTACGGAGAGCAACCCGGCTGCTAGAGCCTGTTAACCTCCGTCTTGCACCGAACCTTCCAATCCCGACCGAGATCCCTGAAGCTGCCAGTGATCTCCTCTCCTCCTCATCCTCCTCATCCATGTACAGTTGATTCATGTAGCACACACTCCCTGCCCCATAGATCGAAGAGCCGCTTCTGCTGCTGGCATCTTCATCCTCCTCATCGTCCCCATACAGCTGGTTTGAGAAAGTAGACCCCCCATCAGCCTTCCCAAAACCCTTCATGTCCATAATCCAGCCCTTCCCAGTGCTGCTGATGCGACGACCAATCCCCTTCCTCCCACAAGTTACCTCTGTGACCAAGTCCCTGCGAGAACCACACAGACTATCAGCAGAAGTGGAAGAGCAGCTATCCCAAGTGGGGTCGATAAGACACGCACTGTGGCTGCTGCAGCTGCTGTCAGTCCGACTCAGGCTGCACCGCCTGCTGCTCGCCTCTGCACCCATCTCAGCATTCATCACCACACCTTTCTGTGCCTCAGAACCCATTGTCGCATCCTCGTATGCATCTGCATCCAGCTCTACACCTTTCTGCGCTTCCAAACCCATAATCACATCCTCAAATACCTCAGCAACCAGGAACCAGGAAGCCACCTCCTCAGACTCCGGAGCCAACCACCACGATTCCTCAACCGAGCAGATAGAGTTCTCAACAAAACCGAAAACTTCTTCAGCCGAGCAGCGGGGTGAAACAGCCGAGACAGGAGGAACGACCAAAGTTGACAGAGCAGCGGGTTCAGCAGAGCTGGTAGCAGTTTCGAGCAGGTCAGCAGGAACCGCCACAGAGACAGCAGGGACAAGCACACAGGCAGCAGGGACAACAAACGAGCCAGCAGGGACCGCCACAGGGACAGCAGGGACCTCATCTTTCACAGCAGGAGACTCAACCACGACAAGAGCAGCCTTGGCTGCAAGTTGAGTGCCTGAGCTGGTCCATTTGAAGTCGACCTGCAAAGATTCAAGTGAGCAACGTTAGTCCTTGCTCAGCATTTTAAGAAAATGCGTGATAGAAATGAGGCGTTAGAGTGCATTCAAACAGAGACTCGGAAAGGAGGAGGTAGAAATCTGTTCTTACCAGGCGTGAAAGCGAGACCAGGTTGCACATGAAGCGAGTCAGGGAGTCATCCTGCTCCCAGTGACTCGAGAAGAGCGCGTCGACGTCCATGCAGGCACTCGCAGCACCGACGCAGGCCATTTCGTCGACTGATGAAGTTGCGAAGACGGACTGGCTTTAGTGTTGAGTGCTACGGATTGTCAGGGAGCACTCGTGCGGATTCAGAGAGCAGGTAACACGGCCTTAAGAGCAGACGACGGTAGGATTCTGAAGGCTGATGATGATAACTGAATCAGTGCAGACTGGTGAATGGGGAGTACAAACCCCTGCTTGCTTTATGCTCCTTTCTTTGGTACTGCCAGTGGCTGCTAGGATTCTGAGGGAAGGCCAGAATGTGGGGTGAGCCTGAAACTGGGACGGAGTCGCGACGAAAGTCTCGGAGGGGGTTGGAAGCTCGGAGTCGTGAGGGAGTGAGGCTCGGAATCGCTGAGGGAGTGAGGCTCGGAATCGTTGAGGGTGTGAGGCAACGCTAGCCAATGCTGAGCGGAAAATGCATAGCCTGTGGGGTCCGCGGCGATCGGTACCCATGGCGACGTCGCCGGATGGCCTAAGCGTCGCATGGCAGTCCAGTCCAGTACCGTCGATTCGATGGGAGCTTTCGGCTGTATGAGCGAGTGAGGGGGGTTCTCTGAACGGTGTGGTGCTCCCAAGGTCCGCCGCAAACGGGAGTACCGAGTGCGGCTCGAGAAATTACGAAGGCGGGAAAGAGATACACATGGATATGGAGCGAGACTTCAGGCAATAGGTTCGACAAACCGAACCTACAGCCGAACCTAGGCTCTAACCCAGCGGATTCCGGGATACTGGATACGTGGGATCGAGGTACTGCAGCGGGAAGTGGGGTAATGGCTGAAGGTCTCCAGTGCGGATAGAAACTATGATAGCAAGCGTTTAGAGTGAACCTTGTTATACCCTTTGTTTCCATGACACTGTAATCTACTAATATTTACCACAAGGAACTGCTTACTGAAAAACCAAAGAAGTTAGGACATGTGTCCACGCTCTGGTCCGCATACTGTACTAGAAAGTGGCAGCATATGCAGCAAGCTGGTAAACACATCATATTTACAAATGGAAAATATACATACGGACCGGTATCTCCTTTATAAGTATTACAAAAACTATCAAAGAAGCCCAACTCTCCATCCTCCACTTTCACCCATCCACCCATCCCTCCATGCATCACCCATTCACTTCATCCCTCCACTCCTGCCCCTCAGCCACCATCACCCTCTTGCCCATCTCATAAACCAGAAACCCAATCGCCGTAACTGGAACCAGCTCAATCAGGCTCGGAAGCACCCCTCTGTACAGCCCCCTCACCCCCTCCTTTAGGATCCTCCGCATTGCCTGGCTTGGCCCATGAGGGTACTATGGCCCACAGAGGACATCAGTCTAACATTCTTGCAATCTGGACATGATGTCTGACATGAATTTGAAGTCCTCTCGCATGGGAGTGAGCTGTGAAAGTACTGTGCTTAAAATTTTCAGAAAACAATAAATTTATTACCTATACCTAGTTTACAAGATTCAATTCTAGGAGCTTGACAGGCTGGCTGTGGCAGTCCAGTCCAGTTATTCTGGTTACAGCCACAGCTGCTGACAAAATTTAGGCAGGATGTCTAACCTACCTTTGTCTCAGCACGCTGCTCATCCTACGAAGAGCGACGCGGCTGCTCGACCCCGTTATTCTCCGCCGTCCACCGAATCTCCCAATGCCAACAGAAATCCCTGAGGCTGCCAGTGACCTCCTCTCCACCTCATCCTCCTCATCCATGTACAGTTGATTCATGTAGCACACATTCCCTGTCCCATAGGTCGTGTAACCATTTCTGCTGCTGTCATCATCCTCCTCATCATCACCATAGAGCTGGTTCCAGACATTCCCTGTCCCATAGCTCGTGTAGGCGCTTCTGCTGCTGTCATCTTCCTCCTCATCATCATCCCCATAGAGTTGGTTCCAGAAAGCAACCCCTTCTTCAGTCTTGCCAAACGCCTTCATCTCCACACTCCATCCCTTCCCAGTGTTGTATTTGCCTCGCCCAATCCCCCTTTTCACACTCGTCGCCTCGCTGATTAAGTCAGACTTTGTACTGCAGAGGCTGCTGACAGAGGAGGAGGAGCAGCTATCCCAGGTGAGGTCAATGAGACACGCACTGCGGCTGCTGCAGCTGCTCTCAGTCCGACTCAGGCTGCACCGCCTGCTGCTCGCCTCGGCACCCATCTCCATACACTGCTCTGCCTCTGCCTCTGCATCCGTCATCACCTCTGAGCAAAACATCACACCGTGCTGTGCCTCTGAACCCATCACCACATCCTTGTACGCCTCTGCAACCAGGAACGAAGAAGTCACCTCCTCTGAATCAGGCGCCAACCACCACGCCTCCTCAACTGAGCAGATTGAACTCTTTATCGAACCGAAAACAGCTTCAGCCGAGCAGCGGGGTGTGACAGCCAGGGAGCGTGGTGTAACAGCCGAGAAGCCAAGTGTAACAGCCGAGGAGCGTGGTGTAACAGCCGAGAAAGCAGGAACGACCTCAGTTGACAGTGCAGGGAGTCCAGCAGAGCAAGCAGCAGGTTCGATTTGATCAGCAGGAGCATCCACAGAGACAGCAGGGACATCATCTTTGACGGCAGGAGCCTCAACCGCGACAAGAGCAGCCTTGGCTGCAACTTGAGTGCTTGCGCTGGTCCACTTGAAGGCGACCTGCAAAGATTCAAATGAACAACGTTAGTTTCTGCTCAACATTTAAAGAAAACGCGTGACAAAAAGGAGCGTGGATTTTAACACAGAAGCGGAAAGGAGGAGGTAGAAATCCATTCTTACCAGGCGTGGAAGTGAGACCAGGTTGCACATGAAGCGAGTCAGGGAGTCATCCTGCTCCCAGTGACTCGAGAAGAGCGCGTCGACGTCCATGCAGGCACTCGCAGCAACGATGCAGGCCATTTCGTCGACTGATGAAGTTGAGAAGGCGGACTGGCTTTAGTGTTGAGCACTACGGATTGTCAGGGAGCACTCGTGCGGATTCAGAGAGCAGGTAACACGGCCTTAAGAGCAGAAGACGGTAGGATTCTGAAGGCTGATGATGATAACTGGATCAGTGCAGACTGGTGAATGGGGAGTACAAACCCCTGCTTGCTTTATGCTCGTTTCTCTGGTGCTGCCAGTGGCTGCTAGGATTCTGAGAATGGGAAGGTGAGAATGTGGGGTGAGCCTGAAATTGGGATGGAGTCGCGACGAAAGTCGCGGAGGGGGTTGGAGGCTCGGAGTGGCGAGGGAGTGAGGCACGGAATAGCTGAGGGTGTGAGGCTCGGAATCGTTGAGGGTGTGAGCCAATGCTAGCCAATGCTGAGCGGAAATCGCATAGCCTGTGGGGTCCGCGGCGATCGGTGCACATGGCGACGCCGCCGGGTGGCCTAGTAAGCGTCGCATGGCTGTCCAGTCCAGTTGCGACGATTCGATGCGAACTCTCGGCTGTATGAGCGTGGGAGGGGGGATCTCTGAGGCGTGTGGTGCTCCCAAGGTCCGCCGCAATCGGGAGTACCGAGTGCGGCTCGAAAAAATATGAAGGCGGGAAAGAGATACATATGGATATGGAGCGAGACTTCAGCCGAACCTACGCTCCAACCCAGAGGATTCTTGGACACTGGACATGTGGGATCGACGTACTGCAGAAAGAGCGGGGAGTCGGGGAATGGGTGAAGGAATGTCTAGTGCGAGTAAAATCAATGGTTCAAGTGTTTATAGTTAAACTTGTTATACGCATTGCTTCCATCTAAATGACAGTGTAAATTTACTATTTTTTCCACAAGAAACTGCTCACGAAAAAAATAACGAAGTTTTTGAGATGTGTCCACAATCTGGTCCACATATTGTACTAGAAAGTGGCTGCATATGCAGCAAGCTGGTACAGACATCATATTTACAAATTGAACATATACATACGTATCTTTTTGATAAGTATTCCAAGAGCTATCAAGAAAGCCCAGCTCTCCATTCTCCACTTTCACCCATCCATCCATCCCTCCATGCATCACCCCTTCACTTCATCCCTCCCCTCCTGCCCCTCAGCCACCATCACCCTCTTGCCCATCTCATAAACCATAAACCCAATCGCCGTGGCTGGAACCAGCTCAATGAGGCTCGGCAGCACCCCTCTGTACAGCCCCCTCACCCCCTCCTTCCTCAGTATCCCCCTCATTGCCTGGCGAAGAGAGTTGTACTCTAGGTGCCCACCCGTAGGGGTGGCATGCTTTGGCAGCAAGCTCATGTTGATTTCGCGCCGGCAGAGCTCAAACGGGTGTGTGACTATAGTGGAGGCTGCTCCTGCGATGGCACCGGCAATGAGTGTGTGCGCCGCAGAGGGGTCTTTGCCGTTCCTCCGTCTCTGATGGATGGGAAACAAAACAGGATCACAGTGGAGACAGGGCGTTGTTAGCAAGTGGCATGACGTTGGGATCACATCGGCTCGAATGGGTGTGTGACTATAGTGAATGCTGCTCCTGCGTCTTTGCCGTTCCTCCGTCTCTGGTTGATGGACAAACAGAGATGAATCATGCTGGAATGCTGTCAGCCCAAATGGGTTGTGCTTCATGCTACATCATAGCTGTAGTCCACAGAAAGGCAATTCTCCATGCTCGTTCTAGTCACGGCTCATATACCGAGCATGAAAAATCGCTTCTGCAGAAGGGCCCCTGCTTTGAGTCAACTCAAAACACGACTCATTGGACAGGGGTCCCTTCTGTCCCTCTGTATCTGTTGGATGGGAATAGCAAGAAAGCTTGTTTTCTATAAATGGCTTGCTTTTGGAATTACGGATGAGCGAGGGAGTGAGTGCAATGGTTTGTGCAATGGAGGGACAGAAGGAGAGTGTGAGAGAGTAGAGCACAAGAGCCAGCATCGCACCTTGATCTCCTCCTTGAGTGAGTCAAGTCAAAGGCAAGGAAGTTGATGGTAGAGCCAGACACCATGGAGGCCAGTTGGTGCACAAGGAGTGTGTTTGTGAGTGCGTGTTTGTGAGTGCGTGTTTGTGAGTGTGTGTTTGTGAGTGCGTGTTTGTGAGTGCGTGTTTGTGAGTGCGTGTTTGTGAATGCGTTGGTGTGCGTTGATGGCAGAGGCGGGAACCATGGAGGCCACTTTCGGCACCGTGAGAGCGAGTGTGCATGTGTGTGCGTGCGTGTGTGAGGGCATAGGGCGTGTGTGTGTGGGGGGGGGGACGGGGGGGGTGGGTTCGTGCCTCTCACCTTGATCTCGTCCTTGAGAGACTCAAACACACCCCCCCCTTGTGTGGGGGGGGCGGAAGTTGATAGCAGAGGCGGGCACCATGGAGGCCAGCTTGGGCACCACGAGTGTGTGAGACGGAGACAAGGCGCGAGCGCACGCATCTCACCTTGATCTCCTCCTTGACTGATTCTAAGACAAGATATTTAAAAGCAGAGGCGGGCACCATGGAGGCCAGCTTGGGCACCACGAGTGTGTGAGACGGAGACAAGGCGCGAGCGCACGCATCTCACCTTGATCTCCTCCTTGACTGATTCAAAGACAAGATATTTAAAAGCAGAGGCGGGCACCATGGAGGCCAGCTTGGGCACCACGAGTGTGTGAGACGGAGACAAGGCGCGAGCGCACGCATCTCACCTTGATCTCCTCCTTGACTGATTCAAAGACAAGATATTTAAAGGCAGAGGCGGGCACCATGGAGGCCAGCTTGGGCACCAGGAGAGGGGGACAGAGCGGGAGTGTGTGTGTGAGGGGCAAAGAGCACACACATGTATGTATGCACCTGACCCACCTTGATCTCCCCCTTGAGAGACTCAAACACGAGGAGGTTGATGGCTGAGGCAGGCACCATGGAGGCCAGTTTTGGCACCACCATTGTGAGAGTTTGTGAGTGTATGTGTGTGAGAGGGACACAGGGCACAAACACGTGCACCTCACCTTGATCTCCTCCTTGAGCGACTGAAGACAAGCAAGTTGATGGCAGAGGCGGGCACCATGGAGGCCACTTTCGGCACCGTGAGAGCGATTGTGTATGTGTATGCGTGCGTGTGTGAGGGCATAGGGCACAAACACGATGCCTAACCCTAATCACCTGCTTGAGCGACTCAAAAACGAAGAAGCTGATGGAAGAGGCGGGAACCATGGAGGCCAGCGTCGGCACAATGAGAGTGAGCCACGCGCACGCGCGCACGTGTGTGTGTGTGGGGGGGGAGGGGGGTTGGTGGCGGGTGTGGGTTCGTGCCTCTCACCTTGATTTCCTCCTTGAGAGATTCAAACACGAGGAAGTTGATGGCAGAGGCGGGGACCATGGAGGCCAGCTTCGGCACCACGAGAGCGAGTGTGCGTGTGCGTGTGGGCATACGGCAACATGTATGCCATGCATCTCGCCTTAACCTCCTCCTTGAGCGATTCGAAGACAAGGAAGTTGATGGCAGAGGCGGGCACCATGGAGGCCAGCTTCGGCACAAAAACGAGGGGGATAGAGCGGGAGTGTGTGAGGGACACAGAGCACACAGATGTGTCATGTATGTATGCATCAGACCTTGATCTCCTCTTTCAGCGACTCGAAGACGAGGAAGTTGATGGCTGAGGCGGGCACCATCGACGCCAGCTTCGGCACCACCCCTCGGAACAGCTGTGAGGCGCCGTGCTGCTGTGCCACCCCCACCAACGCCTGGCGCAGGCCCGGGTACTTGCCAGGCTGAAGAGAGGATTAGGGGAGAAAGATTGTAACGAAAATGGGAGGGGAAGATGTGTGAACAGCTGCGAGGCGCCGTGCTGCTGTGCCACTCCCACCTGGGCCTGGCGCAGACCAGGGTACTTTCCCTGCTGCGGAACAAAAGATAGGAGAACTCGAAATAAAAGAGATACTAAGGAGAGAACGGAAGGAGTCATGGCAGTGACGCTGCACAGGTGGCGTAGCAGCTGCTGCTATATGTGGCTACACTAGTTTAAGGACTTGAGGCACCCCAAGACACCTGACGATTCACCTGCAGGCTTATGTGGTCGCTGTTGACAGCAGATAAGGGGTAGAGGAGGAGAGTGGCAGGCAGTAGGGTACCCTACCACACGCCCACCCCACATGAAGACACCTGAACGTTCACCTGCAGGCTCATGTGGTCGCCGACAGCAGAGAAGGGGTAGAGGAGGAGAGTGGCAGCCAGACCTGCTGCTCCCCCTGCCACTGAACTGGGAGGTACCGACTCGGGCAGCTGAAAAGTTTTTGGGTGCTTCTGATTGGCTCTTAACAGCCAGGCCTTGACGGTCTCAAACGTGTAGAACTGAATGGATGGGGAATCAGGGGAGAAGGCCAAGAGGGAACGAGGGAAGGGAGAGGAATACGGCAATGGATGGGGGGCGTGAGGAGTAATATGGAACGTGCATGGAAGCAAACACCACCGTGCTCACCTGTAAGTAAGCAACGTGTCGTGGTGTATCACCATGAGCCTAAGATATCATGCTGACGTCTGCATTGACTGCATGGATCTGCATGGGTCCGCAAAAGCATGCATGGATGTTAACAAAATGCTGTCCCTTAAAGCCCACCTGAATGCCTCTGTTCAGCGCTGTCATGATGATGGGCATCTTGAGCCCCGCAGACAGAATGCTGTCCCTTAAAGCCCGGTTATGCACCGCTGTCGATGCCACCTCAGCAGCTGTTCTCCCGCCCTTCTGTGCAATGACCCTCGTTTGGAGGTTCTTCAAAGGACCTGTGCATGCACCCACCACCCCCCCTGCCAGGACTCCACATAGGAACTACAGAAATGGGTTGCAAAGAAGGAGCAGAAAGAGCAGACGAGTTCAGAACACCAAGTCAACTGAACACAGGCATGAGAGAGGCAGAACAAGAGCAGCTCGTTTCGATAAAAAGTACTGATCCAGTCCCAACAAAACCACTTCACTCCAACCACGCCAGTTAATCTCCAAGCCTACCTGTTTCAGCTCCAAACTCCGAACGCGCCGAACCAGAGGCACAGGCACGTTGTCAGGTACGGGAACGCGGTATTCCCGAGCCTCCCTCGAGATCCGCTCCAAGGCATCTGGCGCCTCCGCCGAGCCTCCGCGTGGCTTGCGCTCGGATCGCTGCGGAGAGTTGTTGCGACAGAAGCACTCGAGATGAGGTCATTTTCGCGAGCTTTAAAACACGGCTAAGGAGATGATCTCGAGGCGCGGAGGAATCGAGATAGCGAGGGGAGTAAAATTCAGCAATAATGGAAGGAGGGGAATTGAATGCGAATACAATGGGAATGGATCAGAAGAGAAGCGTGTCCACGGTATAGCTTACACGCTCAGCCATGGCTCGCGGCGAGAGCTACCGCGACGATCCGAGCGGAAGAGTTTACGCGGAGTTTGGAATTAAGAGAGACGGAACGAGGAGATCCGGCGTCTTTCGGGATCCAAAACGGGATTCGAGACTCGAGTTAGGATACGATGTGCACTCTCCTGTGATTCTACGCATCAATAACGATTTCGAAGGCCATGCTGCTGGAATTCCATGCTGGTGGGGATGCCATGTTGTGGGAGGCGCAGCGCAGGGGCAATGGTGCAGAGCGCCAGGCTTCCGCAAAGTGCGGCAGGATGCTCGCACAATGGGAGCCATGCGCGAGTGAACAATGGAGATCGGGAGGTAGGGAGGGACAGCGAGTGAAAGATGGCATGGCAGGCAAAATGTCATCGAGGCCATGAAGCTGCGTAAAGCGCGACACGCAATGCCTGGGGCTTGCCGAAATGGTATGTGGGACGGCGCCATGAATGCCACGTGGAGTTGCCACGTTGCTTTCTTGGGAGAAAAACTGGTCCTGCAGGAGCTGGCAAGGGCAAAAGTTCCGTTGCCGGGACTTGAACCCGGGTCTCTCGGGTGAGAGCCGAGTATCCTAACCAACTAGACTACAACGGATGCGAGTTAGCAGTATTTTATTTATAACGATTTTGTTTACCGTCACCAGTTCTGGCACCCTACGTCGTACACGTTCCGACACCCACAATCGGATGTGTGGACACGTCATTCCACCGTGCCGTGCCAAACCGTCTATACCGATCGCGATAAAGCGTCACTCGTTTGTGGTGCTTCCTTCCGCCTCTCGAGCTCACACACTGCCGCCACGTGTACGACCGTCAATGGGCGGTTTGAGAAATTCGCACCTTCAGAAACTTTCCCGAGGGGCTCGAGGTGTAGACCGAACCAAAGCTTTCCGAACCGAACCGAAGAGATTGAGCAGATATGGGTACAGTATCTCGGCTGGAAATGTGATAGGGATTCTCCGCCCTTTGATTTGGCTGAAGCACAGCACAGCACAGCCTACAGAATCACAAACAAGAACAAGTGAGAAGCACACCTGTCTGACAAACTGAGCTCTGATACAGTGCTAGCAAGCATTCACTCGCACTGGGGCAGAAGAAGGCTAGGATTTGACGCCTGGAGCAACGGGTGAACTTTGTTCCAGAAGCGCGTCGAAAATAGTATCGGGGGGGACAAAAACGGCTAAGGTTAGACGCTTAGACAGAATGCGACTTCCTTTGCCGCCGCCCTTTGCGGGCGATGCCGCTGACGGCAGGAAGCAAGGAGCGGCCGTAGCAGCCGGTCGTCGCGTAAACGCCGCCGGTTGTAGCGCAGCTCGTAAGCGTACCATCACGGCTTCTGACTCACCCCATTCGCAGCATTCGCTACAGCCGCTACAGCTGCCGGCTTGGCTACAGGACCTGCTGCAGCAGCACAAGCGACTACTAGCGAGAATCCAGGGCGACCCGCTTGGTTCCTATTCCGTGGCTGCCACGTCGTCCTCCTCTCCTTCCCCTTCGTCTTCTTCCTCTTCAGATGCTGGTCCTCCCGCGACCGCAGCGCATCAGCACCTGCCATTCGCTAAAATGCTTCGACCGCCGCGCTTCTCCAATCCCTTCGCCGCGCTCCCTATTCCCGGAGGCTCGTCGTCCGCCGTCTCCGCCGCTTCCCCCGCCTCCGCTTCCGCCTCCCCCCCCTCCGCCTCTCAAGGGGAAGCCGCGCCGCCGTCCGCCGCAGAGCCAGAACCGGCGCCTTCCGCGGCGGGCTCCAAGGCGCTGATCCTGCTGCCGCGTCAACGCCTTCTCTTAGTTCCCGCCGCCGACTCGACCCCGGCTACTACCGCTGATGTCATCACTGTCGTCGAGGCAGGTTCGCGGAAGGACCCTAGAATGGAGCCTATTCCAGGTCCGGACTCCGGCTCGGGTCCTTCCGCCGTGATTCCCGGTCCGAGCGTCGTGACCTGGTCGAAGCTCGCGGGGTGGCGGGTCGAGCTCCCGCCGAACCTACCGGACCTGACGAAGCTTCGTCCGGACATTGAGAAGCTTCGCCCGGCGCTGGAGGCGCGTGTGCAGCACACGCTGTCGCACGTGCCGTTTCGGGAGCTGCTGGAGGAGATTCAGCAGTGGAGCAAGGCGCGTGGGGGGATCGGCGGGTGGGCGGAGGGGGGCGCTCGCGGATCGCGGCGGTACCCCAACAAGCAGAAGCTGTCGTCCGTGCAAGACTTTTTCCAATACGCGGAGGCGGAAGGTGAGTGCGTGGGTGGTTAACCCTAATAATGGTTGGCCACAAGCAGAATCTGTTGTCGTCCGTGCAAGACGAGCTAACAGAGAGCAAGCAAACCTTAAAACGGGACCCTCAACAAGCTGAAGCTGTTGCTCTCGGTGTGCGTTCCCCCCATTCCACCCCCTTCAGCCCCTCCCCCTCTTCGTCCCTCTTCTCCTCGACCCCCCTCCCTTCCACAACCCGTAGGGACCTCGCTTGTTCTCAGAGTTGGGCAAGGGCGGGGACGGGCACGTGCAACTGGAGCCCTCCCCTCCCCTAACCTCCCCCCACCCAACCCCCCATCAGGCCGTCGCCTGTTCTTAGAGTTGGACAAGGGGCGGGGGCGGGCAGGTGCGGCTGAAGGACCTTGAGAGGGCGTTGTAGCCGCGTTTCATTTCAGACGACTTCAACCATCCCTTCACCTATTCTTCTCTACCTATCCCCTCCTCTCCCCTCCCCAAACCCCCCATCAGGCCGGCTCCTGTTTGCCGACTTGGACAAGAAGGACGGGGACAGGCAGGTGAAGCTGCAGGAACTGGAGAGGGCGCTGAAGCGCTGGCGCCTGACTGTCTTCCCCCGTCCCTCCAATCCCAACCTCCCCCTTTTTCCCCCACTCCCCTCACCCATCAGGCCGTCGCCTGTTCTCAGAGCTAGACAAGGACGGGGACGGGCAGGTGAAGCTGGAGGATCTCGAAAGAGCGCTCAAGCGCCGCCGCCTGCCAGCAGCGCACGCCCGCCCGCTGCTCCGACGCCTCCGGCGCCACTGGCTGGCTTCTTCCTTCGGGTGGGAGGAGTTCCAGTCGTTCATGGAGGCCAAAGAACCCGCCATGCTGAGAGCGTTCACTTCTTTATGCGTGGGGTCCTCTGGGACGCTCCAAAAAGGACAGGTGCGTGGGCTGTGGCTGGTCAAACGGGTCAACCGGGAGGGAGGAGTTCCAGTCGTTCATGGAGGCAAAAGAGCCGGCCATGCTGCGAGCGTTCACCTCTTTATGCGTGGGCTCGTCTGGGACGCTTCAGAAGGGACAGGTGCGTGCAGTGAGAGAGAGGGGGTCCATGGCATGGTTACATGGTTACATGGTTACATGGTTTCAGGGTTACAGGGTTACATGGTCACACGCCACTGGCTGGCCTCGTCATTCGCGTGGGAGGAGTTCCAGTCGTTCATGGAGGCTAAGGAACCCGCCATGCTGAGGGCTTTTACTTGGCTGTGTGTGGGGTCGTCAGGCACGCTGCAGAAAGGCCAGGTGAGTGGAGCATTGGGAGGGATGGCTCGTGGCGTGGCTGACCTGTGGGAGGAGGGGTGCGTGAAGACTCTGGAGTCAAGATTAGTTCGGGTGGGAGGAGTTACAGTCGTTCATGAAGGCCAAGGAGCCGGCGATGTTCCAGGCTTTTACTTAGCTGTGTGTGGGGTCGGCAGGGACGCTGCAGAAGGGACAGGTGCGTGGGGTGGGCATTGACTGTTGAAGCGGTTCAATAATGAAACGACAATTTCAGACGTTCATGGAGGCGAATGTACCCTCCATGCAGAGGCACGCTGCAGAGGGGGCAGGAGCATGCAGCGAGAGAGCAACGTGCGAGCTATGATGCGGTTTCAACGCATGACCTGTGGGGGCTTCCCTTCCTCTTCCCTCCCTCCTCTCCTGTCCCTCCTCTCCCTTCCCTTTCCTTCTTCTCCCTCCCTCCGTCCTCTCCTTTCCTGCCACCAGGTGTTCGCGTCACTGGAAAAAGCCGGCCTACCAGCCACAGAGAGCAACGTACGAGCCATGATGCGGTTTCTAGACGCGGACGAGTCGGGCCACGTCACCTACGGGGACTTCCGGAACTTTCTGCTGCTGCTGCCGCCCGAACGGCTTCAGGGGAGCGACCCCAGGTGAGGGGATGATGGGGAACGAGGTTTAGTGAGGGGCAATGGCAGCAGCAGCAGCTGCTGCTGCTGCTGCTGCTGCTGCTGCTGTATTAGCCGCCACTGCTGCTGTATTAGCCGCCACTGCTGCCACCCCGCCGCTGCAATTGCTGCTGCAGCTGCTCTGCCTTCTCGGCTGTGCTGCCATCTGAATGGTTGTATAGCAGTGCAGTGGGCGACACTGCACTGCCTGTTCAGTGCAGTGTCGCCAGACAAAGAGAGGAAGGGCTGGTCGGAGGAAGGACTGGTGGGCAGAGGTGCAGTACGGTGCAGTGAGGAGGTGCAGAGTATCTGCCCTCCTCTCCGTCACTTTCTCCCTGCATTTTAGCATTGTGTTTGAGGTGTGTTTCTCCCTCCACAACCCCACCCACACACCCACACAACCCCCCACCCCCACCTCCACACACCTCCACACCTCCAACCCCACACACCCCCACACCCCATGGTGCACCGCACGTGATGGCTGCTCCCATTCTCCTCGCCCCCTTACCCTCCTCCCTTCCCCCCTCCCACCTCCCCTCCTCTTTATCCCCTCCACAGCATGGCTTGGTACAAGGCGGCCACCATGATCCCCATGGCATTCCAGACCACAGGTGCTACTATTATCCTCTCCCCCCTTACCCCCCTCCCCTTCCCCCCCTCGCTCTCATCCCCCCCCCACAGCATGATGCGGTACAAGGCGGCCACCATGGTCCCCATGGCTCACCATATAATGGGAATGACTGTTCTCCTCCCTCTCATTATCACTCCCCTTTCCCACCATTCTCTCCCTCCCACCCCACCCCCGTCTCCCCCATCTCCCTCCCCCCACAGCATGGTGTGGTATGATGCTGCCACCATGGTCCCCACCCCAGGGCGCACCACACACCATGGGCGCTACTATTCTTCCCCAGTCCCCTTATCTCTTTCTCCCCTTTCTTCCCCCCTCCACTCCTTCACAACCTGCCACCCCAACCCACTCCCTTCCCTGTCAACCGCACAGCATGGTGTGGCATGATGCTGCCACCATGGTCCCCACCCCAGGGCGCACCACACACCATGGGTACAAGTACAAGTACTCACCCCCCTCCCTTTGTCTCTCCTTTCCACCCCCCCTCTTCCCCCTCCCCCCCTCTTCACCCACCCTTCTTCTCCTCCTCCTCCCCCCCTCTCCCCCCCGCAGCATGGTGTGGTACGACGCGGCCACCATGGTCCCCATGGCGCCGCCTGCTGCCACGTCAGCGCCAGCTGGCAGCGTGATCAAATCCGCGCTGGCGGGCGGGCTGGCCTCGGGATTGTCGACATGCCTCATGCACCCCTTGGATACCATCAAGGTGGGTGTGACTGTAAGGAAGGTGAGTGTGATTGTAAGGAAGGTGAGCGTTTCTGGAAGGAGGGATACCAAGGGTTTTACTGTACGGAGTGTGATGTGAAGAGTAGGCTATCTTATCAATATAGGTCGATCAATGGAGTTCTTGAATTCGATACAAGTGGTCGTGACAGAAAGACAACTGTGACAGTAAGAAACGGCGGGCTGTTAAAGGTACAGTTCCTGACGCTTTTAGTCAAGATGGCTCTATCCACTACTCCCACCCACCGTCCCCTCCCACGCCTCTCTCAGCTCTCCTTACCTTCTCCTCCCTCCCTTTTTCGGCTCTATCTATTTTCCCTCTCTTCCTTATCACCTCGACCAGACCCGTGTGCAAGCCTCCTCAGCCTCGCTCTCAGAGGTGGTGCGATCTGTGCCGTCGATTGGCATCCAGGGGCTGTACCGGGGACCTCAGATCTTCCCATTCCCCTCTCTCTATGCTCCCACCACCAGACGCGGGTACAAGCCTCCTCGGCATCTCTCTCAGAGGTGGTGCGGTCGGTACCATCCATCGGCATACAGGGGCTGTACCGGGGAGCCCCGCCGGCCATCCTGGGACAGTTTGCGAGCCACGGGTTGCGCACGGGCGCGTACGAAGCTTCCAAGATGCTTCTGACCAGCATGCTGCCGAACCTCACAGAGTACCAGGTGTGGGTTGACTCAATATTGGCTTGGCTCCTCCTCCGCCCTGATGTGCAAGTCCCTTTCTCTGTGAGACATTCTGTAGGAAGTCTCAACATTTCAGGGAGGGAGTAGCAGACATGGGTTGAACCATGAGGCAGATCCGCCCCTCGATGGCCTCGATGCGGAGCGCCGTGCCCAATACATTCCGCATCCATTGTTGAGAGTCTTGAATAGGGGCTCCCTCTCAATTTCCAGTTCTATCTTGATACTCTCACCCACCTCCCCATGGCACATGCTTGCTTCCTTCTGCTGCACTCTCGGTGGCGCGTTGCAGCAGCAGCTACGCCAGCACTCACAGGGCCGCAATCATCCTTCATTCTCGTTCCCCCATTTCCCCCGCCTCAACCTTCTTCCCCTTCTAACTCTCAGGTCCAACCAGTGGCCTCCCTCTGCTCCACTGTGTTGGGCACGGCCCTCCGCATTCCCTGTGAGGTGCTGAAGCAGCAGCTGCAGGCAGGGCTGTACAGCAGCACGGGGGCGGCGCTCAAGGCGACTCTTAAGGAGGGAGGGGTGAAGGGGCTGTTCCGAGGCACCACTGCCACGCTGTGCCGAGAAGTGCCCTTCTACGTGTTTGGCATGCTCATATACCTGCAAGTCAAGCGGGTGAGTTGATAGAGGTAGAGGCCAAGTGCGGGGTGAGGGGGCTGTTTTGAGGCACCACGGCCATGTTGTGCCGCAAAGTGACAGAGTGGGCAGGGACTGCGGTAACCAGCTTCTTGCACTCTCTGTTTGTTGTTTGCGCTGCAAGAATCATTGCCCTTCCCCACCCCCTTCCCTCTTATATATTCAGGTTACCCGCCATGTAATGCCGGGATTTCGCCCCCTGGAAAACCCTCCTGCTGGGCGGCTTTTCAGGTTCTTCTACCGTCGTTTGATGCAAAATCAGTCAGCGTCCTTTTTCTTTCCCTCCCATCCCTCCCATGTCACTCGTCATGTGCTCCGCCAAGAGCTCGTCACCTGGAAAACCCTTTCTCTGGGTGACTTGCCAGGTTCTTCTAGAGTTGCTTGATTTAGACTGACTCACTATCACCATCCTTTCTCCCTCCCTCTCTTCCCCATTGATCGCAGCTCACACGCCATGTGCTCCGCAGGGAGCTCGCCCCCTGGGAAACCCTCCACCAGAGCGGCTTCTCAGGTCCTTCTGGAGTCGATTGCTGTTAGGAAGAGTTCACTTCTTTGCCCCGCTCCCTCTCTTCAGTCCCATTGCAGGTCACGCGCCATGTGCTCCGCAGGGAATTAGCTCCTTGGGAAACCTTCCTGTTGGGCGGATTCTCTTGCTCTCTGTGAGTTGGTAATTTTTTAAGGCATCAATCTCGCTCCCTTCTCCCTCTCCCTCTCTACCCATCCCAGGTCACTCGCCATGTGCTCCGCAGGGAGCTCGCCCCGTGGGAAACCCTCCTCCTGGGCGGATTCTCGGGCGGCATGGCAGCGATCGCCATCACGCCATTCGACGTCATCAAGACGCGAATGATGACGTCGCCGCCCGGGGCGGCAGCGGCCGGCATGCTGACAGTTGGCGCGAACCTATTGGCCACGGAGGGGGTGGGGGCGCTGTATAAGGGCTGGCTGCCGCGGTTCTTCTGGATTGCTCCGCTTGGAGCGATGAACTTTGCTGGGTATGAGCTGGCGAAGCAGGCGATAGATGATGTGGGGGAGGAGGGGAAAGAGGCGTAGTGCAGGGCAGGGAAGGAGAAGAATGGAGGAGTGGCTGAAGGCTGAATGGAGCGATGAACTTTGCTGGATATGAGCTGGCCAAGCAGGCGATAGATGATGTGGGGGAGGAGGGGGAGGTGGGGAAAGAGGTGTAGCAGAGAGCAGAAGCCGTGGGTGGAAGTGCTGTGGTCTACAAGCGAGGGCTGGCTGCCGCGGTTCTTGTGGATCACGCCGCTTGGAGCGATGAACTTTGCTGGGTATGAGCTGGCCAAGCAGGCGATAGATGATGTGGGGGAGGAGGGGAAAGAGGCGTAGCAGGGGGGAACAGTTAAGGCAAAGGAGTGGGGGGAGGAGAGGAGCGAGGGATAGGGGGAGTTGCGAAGAGGGGGGGAGAGGGGGGAGAAGATGAACTTTGCTGGGTATGAGCTGGCCAAGCAGGCGATAGATGATGTGGGGGAGGAGGGGAAAGAGACGTAGGGGAGCAGGAGCAGGAGGAGCAGGGTGCAAGGAGGAGGCAGTAAGGAGGCAACGAGGAGACAGTAAGGAGCAACCAGATTTCGTGAATGACAATGCAGTGCTCTACTGGTGTTGGCTGGTTCTTCTGTACTGTTCCCCTTGGAGTGATGAACTTTGCTGGTTGTGAGCTGGCAGGATGAGGGAAAAGAGACGTAGCAAGCAAGCAGTGGTAGTGAGGGGGAAAAGAAAACGAGAAGGCAGCGCATTTAAAAAGTGGCTGCTGCTATATTTTTCTAAACGGAGCACAATGTCATTTTTTTTCGGGATGTAGAAGGGGGGTGGATAAATAGATTTTCTTTGCCCGTACGAGTTGGTGAGGTAGGGAAATATCAGAGGAGTGGAGGGGAAGAGGGAGTGGAGCACTGGAAAGATCAGGGAGGATCACCGGTGTTTTGGATGTGTTCCATTCGTGTCCTTTGATGGTTGCTCAGAGGAAATTCTGAATGGGGTGCGAAAGGGGTACCTATCAACGGTTATGAAGGGCTGGATGTTACCGTCCCGAATAAAAGGCCCTAGGGTATTATGATAATATCTGTTAAAAGCCCTTAGCTACATTAGCGCGTAGTAAGTTTATTGTAGCAAAAGAGTGTGATCCATTAATCATATAAATTGTACATTAGCAAACTTTCGCCTGAATTGAAAACATGGGTGTCTTCAATAAGTTACAAACAAAAGTTCCCTTTACATAAATGTATTGTGAAAGCGTGATGGCCTGTATTGCAGCAAGGCAACTGCGAAGAGCCAATCGCTCTTCTTCGAGAATACATAATGAGGGTTGGAGGCCATTTGGCCTCCACCCGCGTCTTCATTTCGGAACTTTAGTTCCACTTCCAACCCACCCACCCTAGCTAATATCTGTTGACAAAAATGGAGTGCTGGCCCCGCCCTCGCTTAGACGAAGCCGACGTAGTGGTCAAGTGAGCCGGAGGTGCGGCCGACCATCCGCAGAGTTCGACTCGTGCAGGTCGAGGTTGTTGGCCGACGCTGCGAAACACCTCTGCGGCGCCGCCGTCGATGGGAGCCGGTGGCAGACTTCTACGGGTGTGGTGGACGAACCCCTTCGTCGACCTGTCTTAGGTGTGGTCGGCAAAGGTAGCCGTTGACCTGGGCAGGACTGTTAAAGAGGCCGTCAAGGGAGGAAGCTCTCGGCATCAGCTGACTGAGGTGGTCGACGGATGGGTCCATCGACCATGGTGGTCTTCAACAGGCGCGGTGATTGACGAAGGAGGTCGTTGACCAGGATGCGCGCTGGGTGGTCGACCCGGTCGACCAGGTTACCTCCTCGACGAGGTTCTGTAGAGGCACGCGAGACTCGGAGGCTGCGATGGCGAAGGCGACCTCAGACTAGTATCCCGAGGTCGACGTGGAGCTCCTAGCGCGATTGTCGGCACATGGCCGACCTGGCACCCACGCGACGGTAAAGAACGTGCTCGATCGTCGCCGCGCACCTGCGAAGTGGGTGCGCACCTGCGAAGTAGGTGTGCACCTATGCCACTGCCACCTGCGGTTGCAACGTTGGCAGACCGCTCTGCTGCGACGTTGGAAAGCCGCCTTGGTGCAGCGTTGGCGAGCCGCGGACTTGCTACGCTGATGGATCACTGGCACGATGCCTCTATGCAACGCTGGCAGATGTCGACCTTGCTGTGCTGGCGGTCGACCTTCCTGTCTGCTAGGTTGCTATGCTAAGATGTAGTAATTCTTGCCATCGCTTGTTCAGTCATTCTGTAATCCGAACTCTGCTAGTGGAAACTCTTGCCAATTATTGTTGTGAATGCGCAAGTAGTAAGAACGCTAAGAAAGGCTATGATCACTCACACAACCGTGCCTTCCGCCGTAGTCTAGCTCCCACCATCGTTGTAGAGTGAATCTCAGCATGGTGCGGTGAGCGTGGACGGCCTCGCAGATACCTTCAGAATAGTAGTCGATTGCTCACTTACCTAAGTCACTCGTAGACCGGCAGCACGTGCAGACTATGAGGCCCTTCCCGGTAGGACCCGGCGTGGTAGAGGATAGTCTAGAGGCACGATTGGCTGATGCGAGGAGACGCCACGAGGCTGGCGACTTCGGGCTGACCCTCCCCTTGGATGTGGTTCAGCTGGGCATCCGTGCGCAGTGGGCGACGGAGCACCCTTCTCGACCTGCTTCTCCTCGACCGGTACAAAACGAAGGCGGCGTCGACGAGGTGGTCGACGACGGTGACCGAGTCGGTGACAGCGAGGGCACGATGAAGATAGGAGTGCTCAGATCCGTCAACAGTGGTGTCGGCGGGACGCAGGCGGGAGTGCAGTGGTCGACGGCGGCCGCTGACAGCTCACGTGTCGACGTTGACAGTTGACGTCGCTCTCCTCCGCGAAGAACTGGGAGGCCCACGTCGACGACACATGTGACGGCGAGCGGGATCGCGCCGGCGAACGGCTACTTCAAATTATCGCCGGGCAAGATCGCTGTGACTACACTGCTACAAGGTTGACAGGAACTCATCACGTGGAGGGAGGCTATCGAGCCTCAGCCGAAGATCACCGTGATGAAGGGTTTCCTCGACGGCGACGTGCCGATACCAGATGTGGACGATGTCGAGCTACGCGCGGAGTTTCATGCCGCTCGTGTGCAGAACGGCTCTTCACGTCAATACGTTGATAGAGCAGGTTAACTCGTCAAAGAGATTCAAAAAATATTTCCACTAGGAAGGATTGAGAACAATCAAACACAAGCACACGTTTTATATTTCGCCTAACACACATACATAGGGAAATAGCAAAGTAGTTGTAAAACTGAGTTTCGGATCTTCGCCATGCTGTACTTGAAAACGGTTGCTCAACTTCTTGGGCTATTGTCTTCTTTTTCCTCTTGTAAAAACTTGTATTCAAATTTCAATTAAGACAATTGCCCCTGCTGACTCCTCACATGAACACTCATAGGTTACATGTGCCTCCAATGTGACTCATGCGAGTTTACAGTTGTAAAACGGATTTAACCGTTGAATGACGCGAGTAACCGAATTGTACCTGTGGCGAAATCATTCCGCAATGCGGCATGACGTTCGCGAAAACAGTTTTTCAACTGTAAATTTCGAGCACCCCCTTGTGCCACACGCACGACAGAAATGGCAAGACTCGAGATTCAGTTACTCAACTAAAATTTTGAGTCAAAGCTCGACCACCCCTCGCGATCCCTTGGCACCCCCCGAAACACACGCGCACCCCTGAGGTGCGCAATCATGCACGGCCAAAATTCCCGGTCGTGCTGTACAGTGCGATCGTGCGCTGTCCTGACTCGAGCAGGTCGGCCACGATCGCCTCGTCTGGTTGCGATCGTGCGCCCTGCGCACGCTCGCAACAGTGCGAGCCACACGCCTGGGCCTGAGGGCCCACACGCGAGATCAGGATCCCACGCTCGGGTCCTGACACACTCGCGATTCTCCCTTGACCAACTCGAGAAATTCAACAGCACCCCCCTTGACTAGTCAAACTATCGAACCCCACAGAAACACCCCATGGTACACCACTCGCTCGCATGAGGCACGCATGAAACATTACAAACTCATGGGACTTTCATGGGAGACTCATTTGAGCCTCATGAGAGCCTCATTTGACAGCTTCGCATGAGCCTCATTTGAGAGCTTCGCGTGAGCCTCATTTGAGCGCTTCATGAGAGCCTCATTTGAGCGCTTCATGAGAACAGTGAAAATGCAAATGAAAATGCACTGACACAAAATGCAATTACGATGAAAACGAAACACACAAAATGCAAGAACGAATGCACACAGAACGCACACAAAATGCAAAATGAAATGCACATCTCCCACGCCACAAATTACATTCAACCAAAACACCCCATTTTACTTCAATGTCGTCGAATAGGCGGTAGGTTGACGTGCAAGTTAAGTATTTGCACCCAACAAACTCCCCCTCAACCTGGCGACTATTCGAATCCACCCACGACATCACTGGAAATGACAGCTCCCTTCACTGCTTCCGTCATTGGCATAGGAGTATTCATATCCTTGCCAAATTGCTTTCCCTTCTGAACTAACTCTTTGCGTTTGCCTTTCACCAGCGCCGCCGCATAGCTTATCCCAACTCCAGTTTTAGGGAATGCACTCATCTGCTCCCCCGCAATCTCTGCTTCTTTCAAGCTCGGCTTCACCTTGGGTTCACAAAACACCTTTGGTTCACAAAACACCTTTGCCCCATCAGCTGCATAACCTCCCACATTCAGCATCAAAGATTTCTCCTTCTTAGCAGCACCCTTCAGCTGCACCATGGCCTTGTGTTTCTGCTCCTCACGAGTGTCACTCTTGGTAACTTCTTTCTCCTTGTCTACAGAAGCAGCCTCAACTATGCGCTCCTTGACATCTGCAACGTTTTTCTCATTCGCACCAGAAGTATTCCCCTTTTCAACTGATGCAAGTCGAGCATTGACCTGCTGCAACTGCTGCACTAGCATCTCCACTGTCGTTTTCAGCTCCTTGATAGTTTCAGTAGCCATGGCTGCAGACTCTCCCT